CCCCCCTCCACCCATTTGTTACAGCATGTCTTGGTGACTGTACCGTCTATTACAGTGAATTTTGGTTACATTACTATTATTTTGTCAACGTACAGACAAGCACAAGGATATGAAAATGAAAACGGTTGTCTTGTATAAAAGACAAAGGGAAGATAGACTATTCAGTTTTAGTAGGAGTTTTACAGCACTTGCAACACAAAAAGAAGGTCATGTAAGTGCTGAACATTGGAAGTGTTACAAGAGAGTAACATACAAAGAACACGAGTAGGCTGGAGCTATAAAGGCGACAAGAAGTCCAACAGGAAAGACACATCAAACCACACCAGAGCACCCGCCAATCACAAACATAGACAGATTGTAACAACAGAGGGAAAAAATGAAAGAAGGACCAATGATGAGTGGTGTCCTCCGACCACCCATCCCTTTTCTTTAGTTTTTGTAAGTGTTTTACGGCACTTGCAACACAATAAGGTCATATAAGTGCCAGAGATTAGAGGTGTTACAAGAGAGCAACAAACACCAAAAAGAGGGAGGGGAGATAAAGACGATAGACGTTTGATAAGAAAGAAGGAGCACCCGCCACCCACCCACCCTTGATGGTGTGTCGTGCTGCCAAATCTATATCATACAGCATTCAAGAGTGCAATCATCAGCAAGCTGTTCAAATGTCCTAAGCCCAAAAAAGCAAAATTTTACAGATGTTCCATTATTTTAACAATTGTATCTCTACATTATGAACATTTTTTTTCTTTTTTTCTTTAACATTTAGAATATATGAATTTCAACAAAATATTTTTTGAGCAAATGAAACCAATAAATAGCACTGATTAAGTAACTGGAATTTTTTTTTTTATTCAAACATTTGGGTTTAGCACATCTGATCTGAACAGTTAGCTAACAGCTCGTCTTATTTGAAACGATGTTAAATACAGCAACAAACACTTCCGACGAAAACAACTAACAGATTTTGAAGAAAAAATATGATAGAAGTATCTCACTTTCGAGCCGACTTTTAATAACAATGTACATGAATTTAAGAAACAATTATTGAGTAAGTCAAAGAAAATCAGTAGGGTCGGAACTTTCTGGCTATCTTCATTTCTTTCACTTTCTTCTTGTCATCTTCAAATTTGGCTTGCAACTCGGCAATATCTGGAACAGGGGATAAAAACAACAAAACAAATTGTATTAATACTTGCCCTGTCATAGCATTTTCCACGGTTGTGTAAGACCAGTGTATTGTAAATGTGTAAGATTGGTGCGTTGTAAATGTCTAAGATCAGTGTGTTGTAAAAGTGTAAGATCAGTGTGTTGTAAATGTGACAGACCAGTGTGTTGTAAATATGACAGATCAGAGTGTTGTAAATGTGACTGGAGTGGTCAGTGTGTTGTAAATGAGACAGACCGGTGTGTTGTAAATGTTTAAGGTCAGTGAGTTGTAAATGTTTAAGGTCAGTGTGTTGCAAATGTGACAGACTGGGGTGTTGTAAATGTGACTGATCAGAGTGTTGTAAAAGTGACTGATCAGTGTGTTGTAAATGTAAAAGATCAGTGTGTTGTAAATGTGACAGACCGGTGTGTTGAAAATGTTTAAGGTCAGTGTGTTTTAAATGTGACAGGTTTTCTATATATCAAAGTAATGTACTGGTACCAGAAGACGATGTCCGATGTATAGACAAAATGATTTCTCTGATTACTTACCAATATAAACATTCTAAGTTTACAGAGAACAATATGATTACAACAGTATCATTGAACACACAGACACTTCACATCCCGATTTTCACATCACAAATTTTGTACAAACTTCCCAAAGCATGGGACTACAAGACCTGCACCCGCAATCTTTTCTAATTAATGTCAACAATTTGATAGACACCATTGTACAGAGTTGTGCGTTTAGGGCACAGAAGGGTAAAGATTGCCACATACAAACACGCGATCTGATTCACCGAGTTGAAAAAAAAGAAAAAAAGAAAGGAACGAACGAACGAAGGAAGGAAGAAAGAAGGAAAGAAAGAAAAGAAAAGACACATGTAGTCAGCCACACGCACTCATATCAACTTCAGTCTAATTCAGTTACGAGCGCCGTAAAATTCTGACCAAAGAAACAATCAGTTTTCCACTTGACTTACGTTTTCTTTTTGTCTCTCTGTACTGAAACACGTAGAAGTCTTTGAGTTCCTGAAAAAAAGCGGAAAAAAAACCTGTTAGAGTATGGAGAATCACACTGATGCAATTGACAGTGTCAACGGTGCAATGAAAAAGTAAGAAAGATAGACAGAAACAAATGGAGTGTGAAGAAGGAAGACACACCAGTGGTGCCCTCCTCCAACCACCTGTGGAAGAATGTGTTGGCATGGGACACTTGCACAGAAATAAAATGGAGCATTTACATCAGTGCAGAAATGTTAGCATTTTGTCTATCTATATGTTTGAACATGGAGAAACAAATATTAATTAAAGATCAACTGCTTTATCAAACATGACAGCAATAACTGACACACTGCACAGAGACACACAGAATAATTCCTACTGATGAATACTTCCAACGCTGGCAAGCTAACAGAGAACCTGAAGTTGTTAAAGATTGGGAACAAAATTGAGACACATTACACTCTAACTCGCCCGGGAATTAAAGATCAACTGCTTTATCAAACAAGACAGCAATAACTGACACACTACAAAGAGAGGAACACAGAATAATTCATATTGATGAATATTTCCAACGCTGGCAAGCCAACAGAGAACCTGAAGTTGTTAAAGATTGGGAACAAAATAGAGACACTGGAGCTCTGCTGTTGGTAGCTAGCACAAAAAGATAACAAAGAATAACTGATTACATTTTCACAAGAGCTGGGAACAAACAGTTCTCCTTTGCCAGAAGGGCAAGCGCAAAGGGAAGGTGACCCAGTGTGTAATAATTGCTCATGTGTGCATGTATGTATAGACTGTGTGTCTGTCAATTCAAGTTGAAAAACTGCTGTGCAGTAAAAAAAAAAAAGACACATTTCCATAACGAAAGGGAAGAAAAAAATAGAAAAGTTGACAAGATAGGATTTGACCACTGCATACAGCTGAATGTCTGTGACAACACAGCAGAAAGACTCCCCCCCCTCCCCAATAAAAAAATAACATAAAATAAAACACTAAACAACTATCACCACCTCCATAATATCAGGACAAGTGATCCAGCCAAATCCCAAATCAATCAGGACTGAGTCTCTCTCATTCTAACATATCCAAAAAGCTCTGAACCAAGATGACTCTCCAAAAACTGGAGAATCAACAGAAAACTCACATTTTTCTTCTTCCGACTACGAATGTGTTCGTGGCCTCTCTTCTCTGTCTCTTCCGTTCTCCGCAGGCCTTTGTTCTTGCCGTGTCTCGTAACCTTGATGAATCCATCTTCATCAGGAACTCCTTCCATCTCCTTCTCTCGCTTTATCTCCTGAAAATGAAAAAAATACCCAAACCATTCAAACAATCAATGAAGAAATAACATGAGGTGATTAGACAATGTTAAAGGAAATTTCAATTCCCCAGCGGCAATTCCATGCTGTTTTCTTCATTTTTGTGTGTTTTGGCATCTGATCTAACTACAGGCTTCAGACTTTATCTATGTCTATTCTTTCGTTCACAAACAGTAAAGTGAAGTAAAAGGAAGCACGAAAAAAAACCCCAAGTCAAAAGCAATATCAACAGTGAAGTGAAAGGACAAAACTCAAAACTGTTTAGAAAACAAAACAATACATGCTAATTAATTAATGTTGCACACACAATTAGTGCTAAGTGAAGAGACCTATATGTCTTTTAATACTTTGCCATCATATTTGGGAGAAAATCCAAAGAAACTGAGCGGTAAACATCGCCAGTCGGCGAGATAAGGCAGCAGTGTTAAGGAATATAATAAATATAAAATAACTTTTAAAAAAGCAAGTGGCCCTGTAGCGGGGATCCACTCTTAACATGAGACAAACAACGCATAACTAACCTCATCTTTCTTCTTGTAGTACTGCGCCATGAACTCCTCTGCACTTTTCTCCAGCGCGTCGACGTCAGTCACAGAATCCTCATACTCTTTGATGTACGCTGAGGGAAACATTAATGTTTTTATTTAAGAAGACAAAATACGGCCGAATCGTTATGAAAAAGATGCCCCCCAAAAAGTCTATAATTTATGCATTAGTTTTCTAAATCTTTGGACATTCTATCAAAAACAAAAAATCGGTTCATATTGTGAAAAAATTGTGAATTAATGATAAACAACCCATTGAGACTGGTGCTCAAATGTTTGAAAAGGGAGTATCTTAATTTGGAATCTTGAAATTCAGGAAGGAACTCTTAGGAACAAGATTTAAAATCTACATACATAAATAAACCTTTTTTCTCCATGCTAATACTTTAATAAAGTGAGAAAATACAACCTGCCTACTGTAAAACAGACTCAAAAACATAAGGCAGGTTCTTCTCCCACCACAGAAGAGAACTATTATGTCATTTCGTTGAATTGGAGACAAGGGCTGCACTGAAGTGGCCAAATGGGCACCAGGACTCACAATATCAATTATGTTATCATGGGCAGTATTGCATACAGACGTATCTCAAAGGCCGTCAAAAATGACTTACGTCAGTATGCAATACTGTGAGCATTATGCATTATAATATGACGATGACATAGCATTTAGGTAAGTGGTCAGTGGGGAATTCCCTGTACTGAGGTGATGTGTATTATGTAGCATTGTCAAATTATTGTACGAGTGTGTTTATCTATGTATTGTATGCATGTACGCCATTTGTAACCAAAATTCTCTCACAACAATTAACTATCTTATCTATTATTCTTTTACATGGGGCCAGTCTGCCGTTAAACATTCAAAGCGTGGGGCAAACTCACCTCTAAGGCCAGCTATGATCGGAGTGTTCGCGTCGGACAAAAGTCTCTCTTTGTCATAAACCATGTTGCAAGCATTCTTCACTCCTCCGGGCTTTCTAAAAACAACATAAGCAATCTGGACACCCTGGGGGGAAAAAGAAGAAAAAGAATTGATGGAAAAATATAGTTAAACTTACCCAAGACGACCACCCATTGTTGAGTAAAAAAAAGTGGTCATCTTAGATAGTTTCGTTATATAATATAGAACAAAAAAACATGGGGGAAATTGGGAAGGGGTTGTCTGTGCAGGTGGTCCCAAGAGCAGATTCAAATGGATTATTTTTTAAAGTTACAGCAACAAAGTCAGCAGGGATAAACTTGATGAGCTTCAACCCTAAAGTAACAAAACATACTTGTGGTAGGTAGTACAGTAAGATAGATTTTAAAAATTTTAAAGCAATGTAACTCGAGTGACACAAAGATAATATTAAGATACTGGCATGAGTAATTCTTGTGAATGAAAAACTCATTTTATGTCATTCAAATTTCTGCGTCTTCTCAAGACAAGCAGATGCCTAAACCCCATTTTCTATCAATAAGTTTATAATTTCTAACACACATAAATCAACTCTTTGGAGAACAAAGAAGCTTTTCATACACAATATCAAACAACAATAATACAAAAAGAAATCTATGTTTGTTTTACATGTTATGTTATGTTATGTTAAACATAATTTAACACTTTGTTGTATTTATTTTTATTTATATCTAAATATGATATCCATGGATGCTAGATACATGATGACCAGAAAAGCAATATACTTTTCTAAATCACTTAGAATCTCTACTGACAACTCACCTTTTCTGAACTTGTCGGCAAAAACTGGCTTTGTACTATTGGTTTCGAGGAGGGCTTGGACTGCAGATAGACTCTGATGATGTCACCACATTCCTTAAAAAGCAGCCTTACATTTTCCTGTTCAAATGGGGGAAAAAAGTAATAAAATGCTACAGCAACAAAACGTATTATAACAAAAAAATGGAGTGTGAATATTTTCTCCTTCTTTGTTCCCCACACACTGAGCTCAGTGGTAGCAGGCTACAAGCTCTTCTACCCACAACATGTTAAACACTCAGCTATTTTTACACAACAACACAGGGTCCTAACCTCTAGTTCAGGAAGGTTGACACTGCTTGAATTAATATAATTATACATACATATATATATGTTAGTTCAGAATTATTCACAAACTGCCAGAAGTTTATTGGCAAATATAGTCAGGACACGCATACTTCCCTTTCAATTAGAAAACCAACGAATCGAATTCTTTATATGTAAGGATACTGACATGATTTATTTTCTTGAGAATGAAAATTAATTTTTTAATGTCATTCAAATTTTTGCCCTTTATCAAAACAAGTTGATGCTAACACCAGTGTGTATCTACTGTAACCAAGAACAAGAAAAATATTTAACTTTTGATCATTATACTATAGTATGCAGCCATGGTAACTTTGTGGGTCTGCACCAATTATTAATATCCAGGATTCTGAAAATATAAAAATTAGTGTTTTATTCTTTTATCTGACGTAAATAATCAACACATGATCTTTTTCCTTGAAAAGACTTTGATAGAAGAGTTAAGGAAAACAGCTTATCAGACAGATAACCTACTACAGGACAAATAAAGACTACTACTATACAATACCTTTTCATGAACATTTTCCTTCACCCTACATTCAATAAAAAGAATGTTCCAATTTGATACCTTAATACACTCCTGTGACAAATTTTAAGGGAATGATCCCTAAATAAACCCTAGAATAAAAGCATTCTCTTCTTACCTCATTACAATATGGCGGAATATTGTGCACAATGAGTGTCCTCCCTTGTGGCCATTCTGCTCTGGGGACTGCTGCGCTGTGTTCACGCAAGTACATGCAATGGCAAACATTGCTACGAACAGTCGGCTTGACTTGAAGCACTGAGGAAATGTTTCAAAAAGGAAAGAGGGTTGCATTTCCTTAAAAGTCCTAAGGAAAGCTGAAGGTTCCCTATTTTATGAGAAATTCAAACTGAAACTTCAAGTCGTAAATTCATCCTAGAACTACAAACTTACTTTACCTGATTCATATTATATAGACTATATCAAAAGGCAGAAACTCAAATCAAACCAGCACCAGTGTCTTTCATCTATTGTAACTTCAGTAGGAGACAGACAATATGTGGTTACACTATCAGTCCTTCTGGTTAACTTTAAAGACATTATCTTTTTTTTATATGAAACCATTCTATCTAGTCTAGATCTAGATCTAATCTAGATTCTAGATCTAGACCTAGTATCTCCACAAACAGACCCGAAGCTCTGAACATCATAATGACAGTTATGTCAAGATCTAAATCGAGATCTATACAATACTATAATTTATAATTATATAAATAAAATACAGTCGAACCTGTCATGACGGCCACCTGTACAAACAGCCACTTTCCATTCCCCCCTTGTGTTTATATAATTTAACTGTGTAAAACGGCCACCTGTCCAATGCGGCCACCATATTTTAACACACACCCCTATCACACCTTAGTGACTCCATTAGGTTTCGTCATTTTATTGTGCATTGGCCCCTAGCGTTGTGGGCGAGCCATCACAATCCAATCACCAGTCATTGTTGGTAGGTAGTCACTCCCAACCGATCATGTTGCGTCGACCCCTCCCACTGTTGACCAATAGATCTGGAATCTAGAATCTAGATTAGTAAGAGGTAACAAAGTTTCAGCTGCTGGTGAAGAGGTTATCGTGTGATCCCTCATAACTCATAAACAAATCATTAGTAAATTGAGCGGTCACTGTTTACCCATTCGTCTGTAACAAAGTAAAGGTGGACGTCAACATGAACTAGATGTCTAGATCTAGAAGATCAAGATCTAGATCTAGAATCTAGATCTAATCTAGATCTAGATCTAGATCTAGAATCTAGATCTAGCGACAAAAGCGTCGCAAAGACGGGGCCACGGCCAAACGGCCCCGCCTTTGCCAAAGGCCAAAGGAATCAAACTCAAAACGCAACGTGGTTAAACACATAACAAGCAAAGCCTGGCGCTAATATCTACGTCTACATGTGTTATATCTAAAATTTAAACCATACCAGTATAGCCTTGTATGTTGAGGGGTGCGTCTTTCTTCAATTTGTTGGGAGCCATCCTACTAAGAACAACAAATGTAACGTGTTCCTAAGCACAGAACAAAATATACGATCTATCGGAATTTCCCGAATACACAAATTTCCGGTTAAAATTTTGCCAGGACCTTGTCAGAAGTTGTTTCAAATATGAATATTATTAAAGTTCGTGTTTCGAGCCTCAGCCTTTTTTCTAAGATCAATAGAAATTTATTGTCACCAAAAGAGATGGATACGTTGGAAAAATAGGGATATGGTGCTTTTAAGCCATTAATGCAAGTATAATAGCAAGAGAAGGAATGTATGTTTTCGTTAATTGTTAGCAAGATATATACATTGTTTTTACTGGAAATGCCAGACTGGCAGTTGTCAGATGAGCTTTCCAGGTTACTGTCTATGTATACAATTTATCTGCGAATAAAGGCATTGCCAATTGTCAAGTACCGTTTGCAATGTATAGCATTGCATACATTTTAGATCGCATAAAAACAGTAAAATAACGTTTCTTTTCCTTTCAATTTAGAAAAGAATTCTCAATACTGAAATTGACGACGTCTTTTTGGTAGGTTTCATCACTGCTCTTAATGCACATTTCTTACCAGCATTCTGGTTATCAGATCAGTAAAAGAAGTTACCGAATCCAATATTACCTGGCAGAAATTGAAAACGAAAACGAAAGTTGAAAATTTGAGCCTATTGTAATTGTATTCATCACCAACTGACAGGCGACCCTCCATTCCTCGACTTTGCTCTAGGGACACCTGAGAAAGCTAACAGAACGCGGGCTGATTTAGAGGAGGCACTGCAGAATTACCATGCTTCAAGGGAATGGAGACAGAACGACCTCATGAAAATGAAAGACAACGAGAACTTACGTATCTTTGCCTCTAAAATCGTCTTAGTTCCTTATGAGGCTTTCCATGTACCAAAGTGAGTGGCCAAAAAAAAAAGTCAAATTGTGCGCTTATTAAATTTCAAGCTGATCTTCAGTTGAGCCCAGAAAAGTAACTGGTGGCATAGTATGATGGTTATTGTGGTGAGATGCACTGGCTCCCTCCCGTGTCAGCTGAGTCGGATCAAAATTCAAGATGATAACTTGATTTGACCAGCGCAGTATGTGGACATGGGTGTATGAGTAATGACAACAAAATATGCTCTTACTCTGTTTATAAATTCATACCGTAGACTTTGTTTAACTTGGAGCTATTTAATATTTATAAAATTCCTGTCTTCTTTTTCTTTGCGTTCCCCTGCTAGATCTGAGGGGTGTTTGATCCACTGCTGATGTGTTTCAATTTCAACCTGCACTGCCATTGATTTTTATATGTGACTGTTTTTCCTACTTGGTTGGAAGCTGTGCTCGTGTTATGAATAAAAACATGTTGTGAAAGGGGTAGCACCTGATTTTAACAGTAAGAAAAGGGGTCACTTCCCCTTTAGTTCTAAGTTGCTTTCAGTGCCATTAGCACTCTAATGAATTCTGCTAAACATGAAAAATCCTCTAGTCCCATGAAGTTCCTGTTACAGTCTCACCAAATAATTATATATATTTATGTGTGTTTATAAATATATTTTTCATTATTTATGTATATTGCTTCTGTTGTAGGTACCATGCCTGGATGGAGTCTGAGGAGCTGAGAGAGCTGACAGCTTCGGAACGTTTGAGCCTGCAGGAAGAGTACAACATGCAAGAAAAGTGGAGAAATGACACAGACAGTAAATCTTCTGTTTTGTTGTTGTAAACCTTTACTATAAAGACGGAGTGACAGAAATTCCTGTTTTGTTGTAATATATTAGATGTACCATTGTTAAGGACAAGCAGACAGTGGAATTATGTTTTAATCACTTAAGAAGTAAGGGGGGATGGGGGGAGGAGGCTCGCTCATTCACCTTGAAATATATCTGGTTCTTCCCTTGCTTCTTTAAAGTACCTGGGTTCATTGATTTGTGTGCTCATTTATTGGTTGTTGTTTTTGTTTTTTTGGTGGGGGGGGGGGGGGGGGGTTAATACCATTGGTTCCAATTCCAGTAGTAAGATCTATTGAATAATCCTCTCCTTCACCCAGGACAAAAAGTACTCTTAAGACACGTGTGATCATTGTGTCAACACTTAAAGACACGCATAATGTGTGGCCGTTGTATCAAAACCTTGATTGTTAAAAGTCCAAGAAGCCAGGCCTGTCTGGATCAACTTCTAAAGTCCTAAAATAGTCCTTACTCAAAACTTAAGTAAAGCTGATCAGTTCCGTTTAAAAATGATTACCAGGGCGCCTTCATCCTTTGAGTTCTGATTGTACTGGAGCTGTACACCTGAGTTCCTGCACATCGACTGCTCGATAAACACCAGCATATCCTCGAGTCTGCATTCAGCACAGAGAAGGATAGTCATGCTCAGTGGTTCACTCAGGTCCATCGGGTTAAGAACGGTCACGGCTTCCTGAATGACATGACACTCTGCATTATTCATTATGATTACAATACAGGGTCAGGTTTAAAATAATTTGCACTACTGGCAGTCATCCACCCTCTGAGGTGGAATAAGTTGGCTCAAAACAATGCGAAAAGTAGAAGTATAGTAGGACAATAACTAAAAATATACATTTTGTCCCACACATACTACTTATAATTTGTATTACCATACCTTGCAACAGTTTTAAGGAACTCATTTCTTTGTTCTGAATTCTCCTCCCTTTACTTTCAGATTTTTATGATTGTTTGAGATCGTGCCTGTTTTCTTTCAACAGAGTGCACTTTTATTGTGCTGGACAGAGCTGTCTATGATCAAAAATCCTCGGAGACCAGAGAAGTCAGAGAGACAGGTAGATTCTGTTTGCCAAAACTTTGCCTTGCAATGTGAAATAAATCTTCACTGGCTCATCATTTATTTCAGTCGATCCCTTGGCTAAGATGGAAAGAAAATGTGCATGTACTGAACAGGAGATACACAGGAACTGTGGTAGCAGAAATATAATAAATCTTAGCAAATATAATATTATTACCCTCTAGAGATAAACGTTTGCTTTTTACTGTGTGTGTGAACTATTTAGTTCTTCAGAACAGACTGTCAAAGACAATGAGCTATTTGACATTTAGTTTTACAGATACCTGGACTCATCCAAGTATGAATTAACATAACATTTTATCTCTTACAGTGCACATTTTGTAGCAATAACATAGCAATTAGGTAAACCAGTTTTTGAAGGACAGCAGTTTTGTCTCCTCAATAAAAGGAATTGTGATTGTGCTTACACTAGCTATACCTGCTTTTTACAAGTTGCTTGTCTGCTAGTTATGCTGTGCAACTGCAAAGTGCATGTTCAATGGAAATAAATGTCCATGTCATCATTCTAGTTACGTTGTGCTCTTACATTGTGCTCTCTGAAACAAAACTATGGCATTGTACTGATGTTGTTTTCTCGTACTGTTTGCAGAGGCCATGATTGGTGATGTGAATATATTCTATGAGCCTAGCCACGATGGACGGGGTGAAGGAGAAGTGGAAATCATGATAGCAGGTACTGGTGAAAAAATGGATGGAGCTGTAGGTGTAAAGTCTGCTGAGATACTGTAATTTGTTACTGTGCACAGAAAAGGTTTTAAAAATGAATAAAGCTGGTATTCATTGGGGCTTTTAAAATTATATTGTAAATCCATTTAATTAATTGTTGATGGGTACATTAAAGATTTTTTTGGATATAGACAAATGCTGTTATACCACAAACATTGGAATGATCATGAAGTTGGTGGTATAGCGGGGCTGGCAGTATAACGGGGTGGGGGAGCAGGTGGTATAACGAGGTTTGACTGTAAATCCAAACAAAGAGATGAAGTGGAGTCAGAGTAGGGACAGGTGGGTGAGTTTGTGGAAAGTTGGCGAAAGCAAACCAAGCGATGTGAATATGAGTGGTTGTCTACAAGGGGCGTAATATTCCTGTGGGCGAGGTGCCTTTCATGAACCACAACTTTCCCGGCACAAGCACTGCTTCTTTTGTCCATACATTCCATGGCTTCTACAAGCTGTTCTTTTGCTGAAATGTCTGCCAGTGGTCCGGCTGAGCCAAAAGGGAAAGTACATTAACTAGGGATAAATGTGTAGCCAGCACAGGTATACTGGAGTAGCCTTTAAAATGATGGAGGCCCTAAGTAATTTTTAAACATAGATAGAAAACAACAATAACACAACAAGTATCAGCCTTAGTGATCTCTAACTGTGAGACATGGACGCAATGAGATACACACAATTTTTGTTTTATAGTAGATTTGTACCATCAAGTATGTGCATAGACCATCAGCTTTATTGTGAATTACTTTTATACAGGGGTCAACGTGTAATCTGTTCTTTGTCAGGTTCCATTGCATGTTATATTTCTTCTTGAAATGATTTGTGATATTATTTTAGGACATATATGACATAATCATTCACAGAATCCTGGGCCCGTGGCAAAGGCTGTGGAAGAGAGGCTCTCTGTGCAATGCTGAGATTCGGTGAGAAAAAATGTTTTGCCTTTATGCTCAACATTCTCTATTGCAGCAGTAACTGTCCATCTCCCCAGCCTGTTCCGCTCTCTCAGTCTCTGTTCCTGGTCACAAGTATTTTTTCTGTCAGTTTTAGTAAGCCTAGATTTAGTCATGATAATTGCATTTATATAGCACATGTTCATGCTCTATATAACATGCTTTTTGACTTAACGACTACTATGCTCTTGCTCGTGTTGTCTTCTGTCGAACACCCTCCTAACAGTATTTCCTTGTGTTATCGATGCTTTTTTAGTTCAGAATTCTTGTGAAATAAAGGCAAAGAATGTTGAGAGAAACCTTGGGGACAGAGATGCCCGTTGGAGGGGATCATGGTTGGTTTACAAGTTGTATCATTATTATTATGATTCTTTGAACAGGTGTTCCAGTTTGGGATTCCTCTCAGTGATTTTGAAGAAACATATATATATATATATGTATATATGGAAACTTTTTACCCACATCGTAGTTTAACCAATCCTTTAGAGCAAACTTTCAGATTTCTTTCTTTTTAAAAATTTCAGGTCAGGAATTTCTCCATACAGAACGTTTCACAAGCAAGATTGGATATGATAACAAAGCCAGCCTGAAGCTATTTAAGAAGCTTGGATTTCAGGAGGTATCGCGACCTTGTGACCCGGTTGACATTGATAGAGTCGATATTTGTACACATCATTTTGGAGTGACTATTCGAGATTGAACTTCTCTTTCTCTGCTCTTTATTGAGCATGGCTATAGTTACTTTTTTATGTATAAAGTAGAAACAGACAAAGTAAAAAAACAATCTTAGAGTTTCGTACTTTCAACCATTCAGAGTTGTTGATTTATACTATTGCTTGCGCGCTCATATGACCTTAGCAGTTGCGAGCACCGTAAAACCTTATACTATACATACTATACTATACATACTATTGCTTATGACTTTACTGTTATGGATATAAACATATTGAAGGCTCTCTAAACTTTTTTTTTTTTAATGAACTCATTTTATGCTTATTTACCCTCTGTGTTATCATTATAATAGAATATAAATTGTTTCATATGGACATATTCAAAACATTTCATAACATGAATTCTTTTTGAAAAATGTTTTAATATTATGGAATGGTTTGGGGTTGTTATTTTTTTCGTGTATTTTTGTAACCAACAGTATAGAATAGAAATGTTAACAAACTGTAAGTCCTTGATTTTTCAATTAAATAACGTTAACCTGTGACTGTGTTGTGAAGTGATATTCATATGATTATTTTTTTTATCTCGATTGCAAATTGTACTCAGCAGTTTCTGTACTGTGGAAACCATATATAAAAGGGCAGGTAATAACAGGGATCCGGTAATAGCAGGGATTTTTTAAACCCCCATTTTTTCCTACTCTTTGTCTCTATTAAAAGTTATCGGCAATAACAGGGCCTCATCGGAGCCCAATCAGTTATATCAGGGACAAAGGCTCGTTAACCGTGTGTAAACAGTAAGAGAAAGAGTAACACAGTCATGGAGCAAGCCCATGCAAGCCACGCCACTGCAAGCACACGCAGCGTGTGAAGCGAGAGAGGACTGCAGTGTGCTGCAGACTTCGATCTAGCCCTCAGCCTAGCTACACGCAGGCGTAATGTGTCATGCACAGGCCATGGGAAACTACCCATGAATAAATACAGCTGGATTAGTCCACAAATGCTTACTTCCCTTGCATTTCTGATTTAACAGGAATCTGATATAATTAATAGGACTTTTTCTCTGGTCCCATCATCCTTGTATATCAGGTTTCCACTGTACATTGTTCTATGTTCTTCAAAAGGCAGCCCTTTGTGTACAAAAATATATCTTAATGTTTGTTGTTTCAGTCTTGCTGTACTTGTGAAATGATCATCTCAATACTTTGTCTTTGAACAACTTTTATGCCTTAAAAAACATATATTTTTATTTCCTCTCTATTGCTTATCCTTGTGATGTGAAGAATTGTTTTGATGAAACAGCTTCAAATCTTACTGTCTTTACTCTTTTGCAGATCTCAAGATCAGATGTTTTCAAAGAAGTTACACTGGAGTTTGATGCCAGCAGTCATGGAGTTTTTAATGCCTGGACGCCCGGATATTGTGTTGAGACAATAAAATAATATACATCCACGAAAAACCTCTAGTTGTGCTTTGAATATATGAGTATATATGATATCTATGCCCCTGGCCTAACCTTGATATAGCTGGGTTCTGTCGTTCCAGTCTTGTAGGTCTAAAGTAAGTCTCTGCTCTAATGAACAGTAGCACTTCTTCCCCCCTCCCCTCGGGATTCAACAACAAAATGTTTGTCTTAATCCCCTAAATTATTCCCCCTCCCCCTTTCAGGATTCAACTACATTTGTACAAAATGTTTGTCTTTATCCCCTTAATTATTTTTTTTAGCAATACAACAAGCAAGATACTGTGGTGCTCTGGAGTACAGAGAGAAATGCGTCCAAAGTTAAGCCTACCTTTTTTAAAAGAATATTTCCATACAGTACTGGTGGCCGGAGGTGCCACTGGAAGATACTTCTTTTTTCTCCTCCCTGTATTGTTTCTATCTGTGTGGGTGGTTGGAGGGTGCCACTTGTAGGTCCTACTTCTTGTCTCTCCTTCGTCCATTGTTTATGTTGGTGTGGGTGGTTGAATGGTGCCCCTGGTACTTGTAGTGTCGTAGGTCCTACGTTTATTCTTTTCCTTAGTTGATTTTATCAGTCTACAAAAGCAGTCTGCTGCCTGCCCACTATGTGACTACCCCTCAGAGACAGTGGAACATCATCTGTTCTTCTGTAGAAAACTAACTGATTTAAGTTTAAGGGGATGTTTTCTTTCCAAGCTACCCCACACATCTAATTGCTTCTACTCCTCAAGACAACAATTAGAACAGACATGCAGCTATTATTACCGAATGGCATCCTCTAGAAGAGTTAACGCTCAGATGCTACTGGATCGCTAACAACAACAACAGCAATCTGTCTGCATGTATGTAGTTGGATGGTGCCACAGGTAGATCTTACTTTTGTTCTTTTTCTTTGTTGATTTTATGTCTGTCTTACTTTTTCCCTGCTCACACAAACTGTGGGTGGTTGGCGGGTGCTCTGGTGTGGTTTGCTGCTTCTTCTTTCCTATCAAACATCTATCGTCCTTATCTCCTCTTCTTTTTTATGTTTGTTACTCTCTTGTAACACCTCTAATCTTCTGGCGCTCTTATGACCTTATGCCTTATACAGTTGCGAGCACCACAAAACCCTATACATGTACCATAAAAATAAACCCCACAAACTGTTGTTGTTTTGGTGTGTCTCTCTTTACTCAATCAAAGCTATTATTTGAGGATTGTCAAAGATCGGAAAATTTTCGTCACTAAAATTAGTAAAATTGTCACCTTTCCTGCTCTCTAACAAGGTTCTTGGCTTCAACCACCCCCTAACCCCTAACCCCTAACTTACAGTCTAGCCGTACTTATTCTTAATATGATGGCTAGACTGACCATTTACAAAAAATAGGCCTACTGAATTGTAAATATACATTTTTAGTGTGCAGTACCTAAAGTATTTGTATTTGAGACAAAACCAGGTGCCTTAATGACAGTGCATGTATTTTAAACCTCCTGTTTTCTTATGTAAATAGGGCCTAAGATAAGTACGGCTAGACTGGCAGTCTAGCCGTACTTAAGTACGGGTAGACAGCCAGGCTAGCCGTACTAGACTGTCAGTCTAGCCGTACTTAATATTGATGGCTGAATTGTAAATGAAAATTTTAGTTTGCAATGCCTAAAGTATTTGTATTTCAGACAAAACCAAAAGGTGCCTTACTGACTTGCATGTATTTGAACCTGAATAATAACTAGATCTAGATCTCATGAGACCTGTGTACTTAACAGGATTGAGTCGATTGGGCCAAACCTAGATCTAAGTACGGCTAGACTGGCAGTCTAGCCGTACTTAAGTACGGCTAGACTCTCAGTCTAGCCGTACTTAAGTACGGCTAGCCACTTCGATTTTAGATAAGAAAATTTTTCGGTTGCAACTCGGATTCGAACTCAAATCTTTGAATGAGAGGCAAACACCTTGACCTCTAGGCCACGAGAGCCCCCTCTCCGTCTCTCTTGCCTATTCTCCGCTGCTCGCTCTCTCTCTGTCTTTCTCTATCAGTCACCCCTCTCTCTCTCTCTCTCTCTCTCTCTCTCTCTCTCTCTCTCTCTCTCTCTGTCTGTATGTCTGTCTGTTTCTCTCTCTCTCTCTCTCTCTCTCTCTCTCTCTCTCTCTCTCTCTCTCTCTCTCTCTCTCTCTCTCTCTCTGTATATGTGTCTATATGTCTTTGTCTCTCTCTCTTGAACTCTGTGTGTGTGTGTGTGTGTGTGTGTGTGTGTGTGTGTGTGTGTGTGTGTGTGTGTGTGTGTGTGTGTGTGTGTGTGTTTGTCTCTCTCTTTCTCTCCGTAGCACAACTACCACCTTATAGCTCGCCGTGGTCCATGCAGATATATAGGCTTATTATAAGCTACTACTTGTTAGGCTAATGACAGCGAGCAGTAGCACACAGCTGCACCTAACCGGCTCCCGGCTACATTATGACGCCTCGTGTCACTGCTGTGTGCGGAAGCGTCATGCTCGAACCGGCTTAGTGTAGAGAACCGACCACGTACCTGCATTGTGCTGCACATTTTTTGTCATCCCATTATCGGCTACGTGCAAAATAAAACTATCGGTTGTGGTATTTAAGAAAAACCAAGTAAAGTAGTATTTGGTCCTAACACTAATTATAACTTACCCTTTTTTTTTTTTTTTTACAGAAATATGTTAGATTACGCTGCGTGTTTAAAAAATAATCGTTTTTTGTCCTTCCTGTAAAATTTGCCTTTCTGCATGTAGGCAGTTTGTGAATAACAACAGAGACCATGAAATATAATTAAATACTCTCTGATAACACCGACGAAATGTTTTTAAAAAATTACAAAACAATGAACAAAACTTAGTAAATTAATGAAACAAGTGAAATACGAGGTGAATCACTGTGATTCAAGTGATTGTGCGTATAGCCTAATAACAAGTGTTCTATTCACAGAATAAATGTTGAGAATAGCCACAGTATCTCTCACACAATGAGGAAATGAAACAAAAACGATGGCAGACGTTGTAGGTGGAATGAAACGGCTACCCGAAGATGTGGTAGAATATACGATATATCCAAACATTCCCTCACACATCGAGGGGGATGGGGTCAAGAAGTATTTAGAAAAACAGATTGATGCCATTCTAGCGCATCTTAGCAGGAAATTATTACGATATATTTGGCAACACGAGCCCTTTCGGTTGAGGCCAGTGGTCACCGAGGGTAAGTTGTATACTATTCAGATCGATTGTGGGTTAGAAAACAAAGAATGAATGGCCCTTGTCAGTGGTAAGACTCCAGCTTTTAAGAAGAGATACAGTTATAACCTCCTCTCTTCCCCACTTGCACTTTCAGCACAGTTCTTTCGATCACTGTTCGTCTATGTGTCAGAAAATTGGTCTGACTGGTCTGATTCAATTTTTTTTGGCAGTGATTTGTTGAAATGTTTCTTCTGCTCTGCTGACTCTGATTGGTTTATTCATTTGTTTGGACACGCAGTACAGTTTAAATTTATTAATCTATGCATTTTCTAGTTTAAAGATTAGAGGCATCACTAGAGAATAGCATAGCTCTACAAAGGAAAAAAGTGGAGAGAAAGGTATGACAGATTTGGAATTGCAAACAGCAATCCACACCAGAGCACCCACCAACCACCCACTGACAGGAATGACCACAGTGATATACTATACACTGAGTCAATAGTCATCAGTAAGATTGACTCATCAATTATACATGAATGGGATAAAAAAATGTCTTCATTTGGTAGTCTTAAAGTTAGAGACTTCTGGGTCTATCAACTTATTTGTAGGCTTGCCAATACTCTTGCTCCTTACCTTATCTTGCGACATTCTAAATTCCCATTTGCTTATGTTGCAGATTCCACCCCGTCACATTTACATGGCAGCACCAGCTTTGGAGATAACATCGATGATGAGTGGTTTATTGTGTCTTTACTTTACGAAATCACTCGAGAGTTTTCTGGCACCGTTGTAAGGTAACCACCACTTCCCCCTTTGATGGATGACAGCTGAATATTTAGTTAGGTAGAGGAACTAACCAGGAGTTAAATCATGAATACTGTGTATCTTAACTTATTATTAGGGGGGATTTTTGAAGATTCATTATTCAAGCCGAAATATTGTTTTTGCTTCTGAAGTGAGCTCTTCATTTTTATCTGAAAAAAGCCTGAAGTTAACTTTTTGAATTTTGATAAGAGCAACATTCAGTTGAAATTAATTTATTTGTGTGACTCTTATGGATGATCAGTTATGTTTTGCACACAGATCTTATCTCTCTTACTCCGTGCCTCTGTGTATGTCTCTGTCTCTCTTTCTACCTCATGTCTGTCTTTCTCTCTCTCTCTCTCTCTCTCTCTCTCTCTCTCTCTCTCTCTCTCTCTCTCTCACTCTCTCTCTCACTCTTTCTGGGTTTTTTTTTCTGCACAATTATTTCCCTAGCTCCAAATGACTATTATAATGTCAATATATGTTTATCGTCAAATCAAATTTAAATGATTACTTTCTCTTCCATTGATGTTGATGGGTGGTGTATCGTGAAATTTCTGTTTCGGTGTTTCAGGGTGAATGACAATGATGAGGAGTTTTTGCTCATCGAAGCCGCCGAAGTTTTGCCAAAATGGCTGGACCCGGAGACGGCAGAAAACAGAGTATGTCAGCTCTTTTCTTGCCTATGTGCAAGTTTTGTATTCAAAGTTTTCGTCATTCAAAAAAGTTGTGAATAGGTTTTTTTAGTGGGCCTGTCAGGAAAGAAAAAAACAGAATACTTTATCAACTCTATACCATTATATTATCACTCACTTGAAAATATTTGTAAAGTGAAATTTACTTTATTTATTTTAGAACATTATTTTCTAAAAGAATTTTGAAATAACGTAAATCTAATATTATCATTTAACCCGAATTAATCTAATTTTTTAAAATCATTTATGTGTAAACCTCATCTCGATAGTTCCATGTTGTTCAAGGCCTTCAGAATTTTATTTTTTCTAGCGGTCTTCAGAACGCCAATATTTTAAGTATTTCAGAGAAAATTTCCCGTTCTGTGAGTTAATAGTTCGTGTATGTCACCTGAATTAACAGTGCGCGCTCATATAAGCTTATGCAGTTGCGAGCGCCGTAAAGCCCTATACTACTACTACTACTGAATTAACAGTGTCGTGTATTCATATGGCCCCCACCATCAGGTGTATATCTACAACGGAGACCTGCACGTTATTCCAATCCCACAAGCCACGGAGGACTTTGAGAAGTACCCGCTGTTCACCCCGACGCCCGCCGAGGCCGTGACCTGTGTGCGGGACTGCACGTGTGACACACGCAGCAGCCAGGCCGTGCAGAACTGTATCAACAAGAAGCTGGCTGGGTACGGTCGATTGTCTTCTACTCCTCGTATCGTTGTTGTTGGGTTGTCTTGTACAGTAGTCGGATTGTCTTGTACTATATGTGTAGTAGTGGGATTGTCTCGTACTTCACGAAAAATAGTTGTACTGACTCTTGCAACTTTGAACTGTTGTCCTTTTAAAATATTTAGAGAAGTGACTTGATGTATTTTGTTGTGTCCTAGGAAAAGGCACTTTACACAACTGTTCCTCACTTCACCTGTGTGGGAATGGGTACCCAATTATAGACGATGAAAGATCTTGCCAGTTTGTTTGCATAGAGCGCTTGATCGCCTTCTTGCACCATGTGTGTCTCAGGAAGCCGAGAATGTTTCTGAGTGTTCTTGGGTCTAACTGAGTAATAATAGTTTGTAAAGTGCATTGAGCTTGTTGTAGAGTATAGATCTGCGCTGTATAAATGCTATTATTATCATTATTGTTATAATTATTATTATTATTTTGTTGTTGTTATTGCCTTCCAGACTCCCCAAGAAAGTGTCGGAGAGTGTTCATCGCGTGAACTGTTATCTCCCCACCCCTCTGGCTGTCCTGTTGTCAGAGCATCCAGGCTTTGTGGCTGCGGGTGTGCGCAGTTTTTACTACAGAGATCCACTGGAATTAAAGGTAAGGATAGTGTATCACAAAGGCGTGTTGTAAATATATGTAACTGGGTCGTGCTATTCTATTATTCTTTAAAAAACTACATATATTTTGTCCTGATCTTTCCGTGTCACCCATCTGTTCAGGCTCTCCAAGTAAGTTGCTCTGGGTCTACCCCTGCCTCGTTTGCCTCCAATTTTACCTCTGGGAGCTAAATGTTCAAGGCACTTATGTAGTTTCAAGCGTCCCAGAAACAGCATTCATTGTCACTCTTCCTAATTGTTAAATAGATAATATAGAAATGTAGAGCTTGCTTGTTCTGTGCAGGCATGCCGCCCCATGAAGAGATTCAAGCCGGATGACCTGGTGCGGACACGAGTGACCATGACGAGATGTCTGTACGCCCAGCTGGTGCAGCAGCAGTTCACACCGGACAAGCTCAGCGGGTGGTCGGTGGTGGGCCCGGCAAACCCCCAGTTCCAGGAGAGAGATATCGGCGTCAAACTGGTGGGTGCAGGAAAGGCAACATTTTTGGTGTACAAGTTGTTTGTGTTTTGGGGGGATACTGGGACATGTCACGGACAGAATCTTTTCCTTCATTTTTATCTTTGAAAATGTTTAGATTGTTTTAGCCTAATTTTTTTCAGTGTAGTTTGACTATTGAGGTCTAGACGCAAGCTATAATTTTAGTATTTTTAGATGGTAAAGGGTACTTTGGGATACTCCCCCCCCCCCCCCCCCCCCACACCTTTCTGCAGTATTCTTTGAACATAGACTACTTGGGTAAAATGTTCTCATAAATGATTTTGGAAAATTCCAAGTCTTTGATATACATTGAAATTGGCAGGAATTACCTGAGAACCCAAGTGATGTCTGCACTGAGATAAGACAGGTCAGTCAGACTGACTGGTTAGATGGGTTTGTAAATTCTCACATAGTCCAATCTTAAGTCTGAGGTATCTCAATTGATTTCATGTATCGTAGGACTGATTGTTTCAACATAATGCTGACCAAATTTTGTCAATAGTGCTGGAAAACATACTCAAACAAACATTGACATAATGTTCCCCCTCTTACCTTTTTGTCTCCCCTGTGTGACAGGCTCATGGTTTTGAGATCCTGTGCTCCAAGTGCCGGGACGAAGATTCCCGAACGGTCAACGGGGAGTTGGTGCTGGACTCGCACATCAGGTGGCAGCAGTTTAGGAGGTCGCTACAAAGTCAGGGGTATTTCAGGGTGAGTTGTGTATATGTTGGTATCTTTTTGAAGATTAACATTTTTAGGAGGTTGCTATACAGTCAGGAATATTTGAGAGACAGTTTTGTATATGTTGATATCTTTGTATATATTGACATTTTTATGACTATTTTTTCTACACAGTCAGAAATAATAGAGAGAGAGTTTTTATATGTTGATATCTGTGTAAAGATTGACATGGTCTTGGCTATTTCAGGACGAATTGTGTATATGTTGATATCTTTGCGGAGACTGATGCAGTCAGGGATATTTTGTAGGTTTGGGGGAAAGGGGGGGGGGGGGTTGGGTGCTTGAAATAGTAGGGGAGATGATGTGTTAAACGAACAAAGCCTCTAACAGAATGAAAAAAAAACCTGCCCATTATCGGCTTTTTTGATCGTTCATATTTTGCTTCAGTGACTGTGAAGATTTTTCATGCTAGAAACATGGGATCAAAACTTTTGATGACTACAAATGTTTTTCCTCATAAATAGAACCTCGGGACATTATGTAACAAACCTTGCAGATTTATTTTCTACAGTATTTTATGCTAGTGTCATTTTAAGTTTCCATTCAGTGTAGAGGGTTTTTGGATTAGATTTGGAATGATCTTCACTTTGAAGAGGTGTAAAAAGCTCTGTGTTTGTGTTTACAGGGTGAGATCGAAGGTTCTCGGCTGTATCAAGAACTTCTCAGAGATGCCAAGCACTTCTTCGCTTCACAAATTGAAGACGATGAAAGGTAAAACTTTTGTTTAAGATGACAAACTGGCATGGTGACTTTTAAACACCTCCGTCTTTTTAAAATGAAATTGTGTTTTATTTTGTCACAATAAATCCTTTCTGTTTCTGTGTATGGATGTTTTTTTGGGTGTAATTGATTAAGAGCGAGATAATGCTGAGATTTATTTGATAGTATAATGGGTTGAAAAAATACAAATGAAGAGAGTTCTTTTTGGAAAGAACAAGTTTTGGCCTCTCAGCTACTGTCTGTTGCCTTAAAGTGAGGGGAAAATGTGACAGTAATTTGTTAACTAATCCCGTAAATATATTTATATGTATGGGCTGCTCAATCTGTATTATTATTATTTTTGTTGTTATTATTATTATGAAAAGTATTATTATTTACTATATTATTATAATTTTTATTATTATAATCATTATGATGTTTTACCATTATTATTGTTGTTGTTATTATTATTATGATAATGAAACATTTGTGAATGTGTTTGTCATTGCCCAGCTTTGACAGTGAGAACATGGGCCAGCAGGTGCTGAGACACATCAAGCAGCTACAGCCAAAGTTTGACGAGTTTCGCCGCACCGAGAGGACTTTGCCTGCGTCTGACGGTACTCTGCTCCTTTTGACACTCGTTTTCTGTTACGTCTGTCAACAGAGCTTGTCTCTTTGTTCTGTTGTAACCCCACACACAGAGCTATGCGCTCGTTAAAAAAACAAAGTTTTGTTTCACTGTCTGTCGACAAAGCTTATCTCTTTGTTCTGTTATAATCCCACGCACAGAGCTATGTGCTCTTTTTAAAATAGTTTTGTATTACCGTCTGTCGACACAGCGTGTCTCTTTGTTCTCTTTACAAAAGCCAACTCAGGTTATTTCTTTTTTTAATATATATATATATATCTATCTAGATTTTTTTGTCAGAGTGCAATGTACTGTTTATGTGCTGCTATTGTATTTGTAAAATGCTCAGAGCCTGTGTGTGGGTGGTTGGCGGGTGCTGTGGTGTGGTTTGCTTTTTCTTTCCTATCAAACATCTCTATCGTCCTTATCTTTCCTCCTTCTTTTTTTGTGTATGTTACTCTCTTGTAACACCTCTAATCTTTGGCACTTATATTACCTTATTGTGTTGCAAGTGTCATTTTTAAAACGCTTACTAAAACAAGAGCCTGTGTTCCTTGATATGTTCCTATACTGATGTTGTATATTATTATTATTGTGATAATTGTAGATGATGAGTGGATGCACGTGACCCCCGACCAGGTGGATGAGTTGATGAGGTCGTCGGGGGGACTGACAGGGCCTGGCACAGGCGACACCTTTGACCTGTCCAAGGTCGCCGAGAGTATGAGCTCCTTCGTGGATCACGAGTCGGGGATAGACGGAGCCGAATTTCCCAGGTGAGAGGTGAAGCTGGTTTAAAGAGATAATAAAGTGAAAGAAAAGGGCCACTTTTCTTCATCACTGTTTGGTTTCCGTGGCTTGAATATATGTAAAGTACTAGGTCTGAACAAATTTCAACATAACCCATGATGCATAATGTCGCAGCATTTATGGGGGGAAGGGGGGGGGGGGCTCTAATTTTGGTGACCCACTATTAATTGTTAAGGTAGATCTGACAAGGCATAAATAGGGGGCTCTAGTGCACCAGAGGAACGGTGTTCACCTCTCAATCAATTGGTCCAGGGATGGGAACCTGCCAGTGATGAAAAACATTTTCTTTTTTAAAAATGTTCTCTTCTGTTGTGCTCCCCTGTTCTATAGTCCTACTCTGTCATCTGCTTTCATCTCCACTTTCATCTCCATTTCTAGTTTCCTCGGTGCTCCTCTTACCATTATTCCTGATTCATCCGACTGTTTCTCCTGGCTCCTTCTTACTACTGTCTTTCAACCACACCCTTTATCTTAGGGTAGGTAAGATTAAATGCAATAGCCATCTCAGATAAGGGCGAAAAATCTCGGAGGTCCCTTGTTTTTAGTTATTTATTTTTAGTTTCATAAAGATTTGTTGTCCCTTCCTTTTTTATTTTTTCTTCACGTTTGTATTTCAGCCGTTCTGCCGCCTCCGCGGAGACTGATGATGGTGATGGACAGTTTGAAGGTGGTGGTCTCATCCACGCAATGCAGAAAATGTTTGGTAAGTTGTCATTGTTTATGTTCTCTTTGTCTTGACCATTTACTTGCAGCTGCCAAGCTATACATTGTGGTGTTTATGCATTGTGTTGTTTATTTTTGATAGTTTGCTGGCTGTTTTATTGTTTGTTCCACTCTGTGGTCATCATTGTATTCTCGTGCCACTTTTGCCAGATTGCTGTGAATTGAATGCCAAACTTTTTTTCTGAGGCTTTTTTATCAAGCAAATTTTGTCACAAATCCTTTAAAATATGTTTGCGGGTGGTTAGAGGGTACTACTGGTAGATCCTATTTCTTTTCTTTCATTCTCTTGTTTGTCTGTTTGTGAAGGTGTTTAGAAGGTGCCATTGGTAGTTCCTACTTCTTTCCTTTCCGTCTATTGCCTTTGTCTGTATGGTTTACTTTTCCCTCACACCTAGTGACAAGTTATGTTATAGAGCTGCTTTGCTCAAGATTCAACTCAAGCCATGTTTTAGATTTACCTGAGTGGGGTGGTTGACAGATGCACTGATGCAGTTTGCTCCTTTTGTCCTATCAAACATCCTTATCTCTCTTCCTTCTTTTCTATGTATGTTACTCTCTAGCAGTTACACCTCTAATCTCTGACACTAAAATGACCTATTCGTGCTGCAAGTGCTGTAACACTCTTACTAAAACTGAACAATAAATAAAACAGATTTCCCCGACGACAAAGACTCGTCGGGCTCAGACATGAGTGAGTACGACTGGTCGGAGGAGAGTGAGGAGGACCTAGGCTCACCCACCAAGATGCCTTCAGCCTCCAAGACGAGCAACGTAGCCAGGCCAAGACCCGAGACCAACGGCAAGTGGACGGCGAGCAGCAAGCGACAAACAAAGACTGTACGCTTCCAGACCTCGGAAGCTTCGTCATCAGCCACCACATCTCACACTAACGGAAAGTCATCACCATCGTCGTTACCAGAGCCACCCCCACTCCCACCTCGCCCTCCCTCGATGGCCGCCCAGCGACCTTCCAACTTACGGGCCACCTCCCCTCCATCGCGACCCTCGGAGCCACCCCCGCCACGCCCCAGCAGCCAGGCCCGGACCTCCGCAGGGTCACGACCTCCCCGCAGACCGCTGGCCAAACCTAACGCGGTGGTCAAACCACGGGCACCTCCGCCCCCGCCCCCACCCAAACCGGGGGAGAAAAGGGACAAGAAACTGGACGCTCTGATGGACGCCATGGATCGAGAGTTGGCCGCCACAGAAGTGGGGAAAAGTTTCGAGAGAACCCCCAAACAGGTAACTTGTTTCTTCTTTTTTTCCTCCTAGAACTTGCATCAGAGCCTCTAGTGTATTGGCGACTCTCTTCTCAGTTGCATGTAGAAGACACTAGTCTAATTCTCATGTGGGAAAGTTTTCCAGTTAACTCCTTCTGTCTGCTGAGATGCTGCATTGTATCGATGGAGATGTGAAATGTTAATAATCCACAGTCTGTCCTTGACATTGCTCTCTTTGTGCCAGTGAACGTTTATGGAAGCTCCTGGTGCCCTTGGGAAGGTTTTTGACATATGATATATACAGTATTTTAAAAATTGATTTGAATTTTAGATTTGTGAGATATGCTGATACGTCGAGTTTATAGGTTGATTTTGTATGATTTAATTGTATGAAATGATAAAAGACATTAAACTTGTAGAAAATTGCATTATTTGAAAATTAAATCTATAAATTTGACCCCAGTGTTGATTTTCAAACGACATCTCCTTTCATGAATTGTAAAAAGTAACTAAATTTGGTCAGCAAGCCTCCCATTTATTTTCAGCCTGGAGGCAATGTGATTTTTTTTTTTATAAACCGCAAAAACAATCAAATCGAATGGAATTTTTGAATGTTTTGTTTCCCCATCAGAACAAACCGAAACGACCCAGCAAGCCCGCAGCGCCCCCTGGCGGCCGAGCCAGCGCCAAGACGTCATCAAGAGACATCAACGACGAGGACGACGACTTCCGGCCGGTCAACGTGGACCTGAACGTGGTGAAGAACACGCTCGAGTCCTTCAAGGCACAGCAGGGGCTGCCAGGCCCTGCCTCCAACATCCTCAGTGGACTTGGGGTCAGACTGCCGCGCGATGCGGCTGAGACATAATTGTTGACATGCATAAGGCTTGGGGGGGGAGGTGTCAGACTGCCACAAGAGGCAGGTGAGGCCTGTCTTTTTATACACCAAGGGAGGGGGGAGTGTCAAACTGCCGCACAGCGCATCTGAGACCTGGTCGTTGACAAACCCGATTGTTTGATTGTCTGTCAGTTTTTGTTGTCATGTCTGTCTGCGTTCTGTCACAAGAGCGGGGGAAAAGGGATGGGAATGAGGTTTGGGAAAGGGGGATGGGGAGGGAAGGGATGGGAGGGAGGTGGAGGACAGGGTGAGATCTATATGAGGTTCTTCAACCCAGGCCAGTTGTTGTGAAACAGCCACCCATGTTGTTGTGAAAGAATCCACTTTGTATACGGTACTTGTTTTTTTGTCCAGCATAAGCCCTTGGCTTGCCAGAAACCTGTTCAGGTGGACTGTGGCTGTTTTTTTATACCTACACCTACATGGAAGTTTTATACTTAATTTTTTACTACCATATACTTGTGGGAAATAAAAAATCCTTCAGCTCACTGTACATGTCTGTGTGGCTGATTCCACTCTGCACACAAAGACAAAACACCAAATTGTGTTGATAATGCCTTTAAGCATAATACTCAATCAAACAAAACAAATAAACAGACACATGTTCTGATTTTGTCTTAGTTGGAGGTTAAGGGAAGTTTTCGACTCAATCAAGGCCACTAGTGTTGTGTGAGAAATGTTACATTATAACTCTGATTGTCTCGGTGAACTGAGAATGGACACAAGGGGGCTTCGGTAAGATGCACTGTAAATAATATAATGACAACAACATTTTATGTTTCCCCAATCGCAAAGACTAAAACCACACACTTAAACTGTTTGTTTGTCACCAGTGGGCTCAGAGTTCTAGGCGTCTTTGCCTCAGTTCAACGTGTGTGCTTTCTAGACAGATAATGCCATTCTTGAATTACTGTCATAACAACTGCTTATTTTGTTGCACAGTCTTGAAGAATATGACCCCACCTTACAGAATAGTGTGTAGATGCACGTTTTCCAAACCATCTCAGTTTGATAAGACAGTATGCAGGTGCATGTGAATATTCCAAACCATCTCAGTTTGACAAAACAGTGTGTTGATGCATGTGAATATTCCAAACCATCTCATTTTGACAAAACAGTGTGTTGATGCATGTGAATATTTCAAACCATCTCAGTTTGATAAGACAGTATGCAGATGCATGTGAATATACCAAACCATCTCAGTTTGATAAGACAGTATGCAGGTGCATGTGAATATTCCAAACCATCTCAGTTTGATAAGACAGTATGCAGGTGCATGTGAATATACCAAACCATCTCAGTTTGATAAGACAGTATGCAGGTGCATGTGAATATACCAAACCATCTCAGTTTGATAAGACAGTATGCAGGTGCATGTGAATATTCCAAACCATCTCAGTTTGATAAGACAGTATGCAGATGCATGTGAATATACCAAACCATCTCAGTTTGATAAGACAGTATGCAGGTGCATGTGAATATTCCAAACCATCTCAATTGACATGCTGACCAAAAAAGATATGGTTTACTTTACTGTTGTCTGTGCCCACCATATTCTACATGGAAAGGTTCTTGACTCTGTCCCGTGTAGCTTTCTGTCGCTGGTGGCACAAATCACTCTACCCACTCGTTTGCATCTTGACATTAGACTTCCACTTTCTCCCCTCACTTCCTGCATGTCTCAGACATTGAGTGACTTCCACCATTTCCTTCTTTTTTCTTGTCACTGATCTCTAGCAACTTTGCTGTGTGAGGTGGCAGTCAGTGACGATGCGGTTAAATTGATGGGGTGGAGTGGAGCAGCTTGTCTACCGTATGTGATGTCAGGATATGCTGCAATATGCATGTTTCACTTTGTGTTGTCAATATATAATGAAAGTTCATGTTGTTTGAATTCTGTTGTGAACAACAGTTCCATAATGGGGCACTCAATGTTTCTTTAAGTCACCTTAGCATTATTTGTTACCACTACACCGTGTCTACCAGACTACTTAAGGGCTTGATGTCAAAATACTGTAGGATTTACAAATAGGCAGCACATTGTGGTATTTAAAATATTTTGTTAGAAAAAAAGTTGTGTATTTTCAGGCAGCTTGGTCTTCAGGGGAGGGAAAATTGATTTGGAGGGGTTTTGGGATGAGAGGGAGGGGAGGTTAAGAGTGAGAGGGGAAGCATCATGAATACGTAGGATGTTACTACAGTTACTATAATTGTCACCATGTTAATTACGGGACACCCGTTGGCGAAGGTGGTGGTTATTGGTTTATTGGTTAGAGTTGGACTTTTTAGTGAGGAACAACAGAGGACAGGTTGCTGGATAAAACTAGAGTTACATTTTCCAGAGAGAAACAACAGAGGACAGTTCTCTGTTGTGACTTTATGGCTGTGACAAAACCGTTCTTGCAACAAATCTTTGTCCTGTCCCGAAACATTGGAAAATGATACTCGTACTAAATGCAACAAGATGTGGACTTGTGTCGTTTTTGGTAAATTATAGTGGAAGAGTGTTCAGTAGACAACTGTTTGTAAAATTTCCTTGAAACTTGTGAATATGACTTTTTATTGACTCTGTGTGTACATAAAGTTTTTTAAATGGATGTCTTTTTCAATTTTGTCCCTTGTCAAAGTGGAGTGAAGTGACATAGGCAGCTGTATGTTTTGAAGATACGTCGTTGCTCTCTCTCTCTCTGTCCACATTTCTACAGTCACTCCCGTGTTGTGATTGTAGTGAGATTTCAGTTGATTAAGTGATTGAAGATAATTTTTATGTCTTTTTGTGTTACGAGATTTCAGTTGACATGATTGAAGATTATTTTTACCTGTCTTTTTTTAATGAGATTTCAGTTGACATGATTGAAAATTGATCGAAGATGATTTTTATCTGTTTTTGTAATGTTTTCTGTCGTTTGACAAAAGGAAGGTAAGGTTATTGGTCATGGCCTGTTTCTATGATGGACTGAAGACTGTGTGAAGACGGACTGCCTTTCTCTGTGGAGCAGGGGTGGCTAAACTGAGCCTGACACGTCTTAATACTTCGATTACTTCATGCACTATGTCCAGTTTTAAAATGTGTGGCCCGTTGCTGTTTATGGCCGAGTGAAACTGGCCTGTGATTCGAAAAGTTCGGCCGACCCTGCTGTGGAATCCACTCCAGTTATATAGTCTGGCACGTCCAGTCCCTTATCACAGGTCCGTCCCCACCTCCTAAATAATCTAAATTATGAGGATAGGGGTGTAAAAAAAACCCTAGAATCTTATAAAAGTTTAAAACAGGTGGTACACTTTCTCTTTGATTGCTTGCAGATGTCAGTGAAGACACTGCATGTACTCCTCAACCATTTGCTCACTGTTCTCCGTCTGTGTCTGTCACAGTCGCAAAGGTTTTTGCTTCATGAAATCAAACTATCAAAAGAGTTCCGTGTGTGCCACAATGTCTGAATCTCCTTTTATTTGTATCTTGTGCATTTCCTACATAAGTTAGGGATTCATTTCCGTCCCAATGTGGAAGTCAAAGAGAAATGTTGACTATTATCAAGAGATTATCTACGCTGTGAGTCACAGAAGATGGACGTGACTCACTTTGAACTTTTCCCTGGTTGTGCTCAATGGATGGACACACACACACTCTCACACATACACACACACACACAAGCTCTTGCACACACTCAAGCTCTTGCATATAAACACGCTCACACACACACACACCCACAAGCTCGTGCGCACAAGCACACACACTCATACATGCACATGTAATGTGTGTTCGTTTCCGTTGAATTTGATGCATCTAGTCAAATATATGTATGATGTATGATGATGATTGCTAATGGCTCCGACCACCGTGCCGTTTTTTACTGGCTGATTTGTCAAATCTCACACAAGTATCAAGTATTTCTGATTGCCGTTACGGTTCCTAGTATTCAGTTTTGTTCAGCATTTCAGTATTACTCACACTGCAGTGTTTAGCCACTGTACGGGAACGGTTTGCTCACCATTCTACTGGAAAATCAAACTTGTCTGCTCAGTTCTGAATTGGAAAAAGTATTGCTTTTGTATGCAGATTTTGTATTCAATCTTTTTCTTACTTAACAAGCCAATGTTATGTATATGTGGATGGATGGGGGCAGAAAACATTTACAATCAGATACTAATGTAGTAGTAGCAAATCAGATTGTTTTTATGGAATGTGCCAAATTTCCTGTTTTTAAAAATCCTGTTTGGACATTTTTGTAGTTCAGATTTTGTTGTTTCTATACAGATTTTTGTTTCTGTTCAGTTTCATGTCAGATAAAGCAATGACATCATCGAGTATCGCGTGTTCTGTTGTTCAGTTTCATGTCAGATAAAGCAATGACATCATCGAGTATCGTGTTCTGTTGTTCAGTTTCATGTCAGATAAAGCAATGACATCATCAAGTGTCGTGTTCTGTTGTTCAGTTTCATGTCCGTTAGAGAAATCACTTCATTTATTGTGTTCTGTTGTTTATTTTCATGTCAGAGAAATGAGAAATTACATCATCATTTACTGTGGTTTGTTGTTCAGTTTTATGTCAGATAATAGAGAAATGATATCATCATTTATCGTGTTCTGACTGCTGTGACTGCAACATCAGAAGGTCATTTGCCTTACATTTACAGTAACAGTACACCTGAAGTACCATCGTACCATAAAATGAGAGTTGAGGATCTGTGTACCTGTATATGATGTACATACGTTTGTCAAATGTATGCACTTGCTTAAATACACCAACCTTTGCGCTTATTTCAATCAAGTGTTAATGAAACTGTAAGGTACTGCAAAAGTGGATAGTTGGTGGGTGCTCTGGTGTGGTTTGCTCCTTCTCTCCTATCAAACATCTATGGTCTTTATCTCCCCTCCTTCTTTTTTGTGTTTGTTACTCTCTTGTAACACCTTTAATGTTCAGCACTTATATAACCTTATTGTGTTGCAAGTGCTGTCAAACACTTACACTAAAACTTTTTTTAAAAATCAGAGCCGTGCTGTGTGAGGGCTGTACAATGTTTGAAGTGAAAGTTCAGAACAATCGCTACGCATGAAATCCTTATTCAGTCAGGGATGCCGGTTTTTCCCTTTCATCAGAAGAACACTTATAATTCTAAGCATTTGTTCTTTTTTGCTTAATGCTATATTCAGTTGTGTCTATGAACTGTCTTTTCATTTGCAAATGCAACTTTGTAAATGTTCAGGAACTTTCACACAATCCCAGTGGCTCTCCTGTTAACCAGGTCCCAGAGGCTATACTATAAATAGCACAGCGCTGTGGACTCTCGCCATCTATCCCAGTGTACCTTCTCACCCTGTGTTTCTGTTTCACGTCACGTAATTTGTTCTGCGCCTGCCATAATCTCTCTTGTTTTTAAGCGAATGCAAGCCATGATGCTTCCTTACCTTTTGCCAATGTTTGCTTTTTTTACATTTATCTCAATTTTAGTCCTTTGGTTGCCATATATATCTCTCTCTGCTGCACAATACACTTAACGAATTGCATATTATATTGATTACCTCTTCTTCTGTCAGATAATCAAAGTCTAATCACTGTGCTTTCAGTTTGGACACAGCTGTTGTATATTTTACCGACAATGTTCCGCTTTATAAGTTGTCCCCCCAGTGGTGCTCTCCCCTTTCCTGCGCAGTCGCTTCAACCTGCCAGACCAGCGTGGTTCCCAGTTGTGAATACTTTTTTGATTTGACACATTATTCTCCACAACGTTCTTTGGCTTATCGTCGCTATCGCAAGAACAACAAGTAACTCTGATCATTTTTACTTAACTTTCTCAGCCAGCAGGTCAGACAGAGTTACTGGTCTTTCTTGTGACACTGACAATATTCTGATAATGACAATGAAAATATTCTGATGATAATGACACAGACAATATTCTGATAAGGACAATGAAAATATTCTGATGATAATGACACAGACAATATTCTGATAAGGACAATGAAAATATTCTAATGATAATAATGACGCTGACAATAATGACACTGACAGTATTATGATAATGACACTGACAGTATTCTGATTATGACACTGACAGTATTCTGATTATGACACTGACAGTATTCTGATTATGACACTGACAGTATTCTGATAACAACAATTAACATTTTGAATCTGCTTTGCTGTACATTTTTTGGTATGTTTTTAAAAGAATAATTGTAGAGAGCATGCTGTGTAGTTTATTGTATGATTTTGTTCCTTGGCATAGAAATGTAGGCCAAACATTTGAGTAGTGTGTAGCTAGTAGAAGAAGTGCTGTATGATGATGTGTTTATGTTCCCCATCAATCCTGTTGATGACACAGAGATGTGCTTAAGCTTGCTATTGCAGACCTCTCAAGTACTCCGATTAATTAAAAACAGAGCCCTTCAGTTTTCTTTTAGCCATTGGGGAGAAAGCCTGATTGGATTTGCAAAAGTGCATTGATAAAGTCAGACTTTTTCTTGACTTCCATTACCGTTAGGTCATATGCGGTTTATTGTAAATGACGTGAATATCCCCACTGCTTAGTGTAAGTATAAGTCTCTGCCATATAATGCCATTTTGAAAAGGGACGTGTGACGGAGTCTTCAGACACTGAGCAGTTGCTATACCGGTTTTTTTTCATGCACAGTGTATTGTAGGCCTATTTGCAATACACATTTATTTGCGACTGTTGATTTGTTAAGTAATTTTAATCTACTGGAATGTCAGAGACTCTATACTGAACAAAGGTCCAAAAACTTAACTTCGATTTTCTCAAAACAGCATTTTTCGGGATAGCCCCCTTGTGCTTAAAAGCGACCTGGTATTTTTCCCCCTTAACTCCTTTTTTGTGGTGGTGGCGGGGGGGGATTTTGAGGGAAAGGTTGTTTTTTTTTTTGGTTTTTGTTTTGTTTTTGTTTTTGGGTTTTTTTGGTTCTAGCATGGAGTGGTTGGCAGGTCTGCTATACTATTGTTGTGAGGTTGTGTTATTGAATAAGTTAGAGTCGTCATATTATCTCTGTCCATAGATCGAGTTGTTCCTCAATGGTTGTGTTAGTTATGTTACATGTGAAATATTAGGAGTTGAACATTTAGTTTACAGAATGCATATAAGTGGGGTTTTTTAAAAGAGGAAAATAGTTATTTTATATTCCTTTATTGACAATCTAAACAAAAATAATTCAACATTTTTTGTTATATATACATATGCGTGTACACTGTCAGCGTACTTCAACATTTATAACAGAGCGACCTGCATAAAAGGTTACAAGATTTTTTTTTTAATTTGCAAGTTTGAGTCTCAGGAAGAAACCGCTTGTACTTGTACTTGTAAGAAGTTTTTGTGAAGAATTTTCTTCATTTTACTGTTTGACTTTGTCTAGTTCCTTCTTTGTTGGTGCATATTCTGTTCTTTCGTATTGGTGTTTATGGTGTCATGGCAGAGCTCTTAGCTGTTGCAGGAGGAGCACAGGAGTTTGATTCCCTCACGGGGCAGTGATTTCGTCAAGCATCTCTGTCTGCGGGAATGTTGTATCCCACTTACCCTTGGATGGCCCTGACACTAACAACTGTAACCGTCTGAGTGGAAGTGGCTCACCTCCCAAATGGTGTTAACTTTGTCAATGAGGGCATAAACCATGAGCAATTGATCATAATGTTTTGTACGAGGGTACTCGTTGGTTAAATACAGTAATTACTCCTTGATGATGTTTTGTACAACTAGTACAATGTACAAGTACGAGAGTACTCATTGGTTCATTACTCCTTGGATGGTTGCTGGGAGGAGCTGAGCTCAAAGGGACCCCCGTAGATTTTTGGAATAGCACACAGAAATCTAGATAGAAGTCTTGTCTAGATCCTGAAGACCGAAGTGAAGGTTTGATTTTTTTTTTTAAATCTTGTTACATTTGGTACTTAAAATGTATCAGTAGGTCTACATAATAATAATAATAATATATAATATTACTCTTGTGCTGTGGTACAAGTGAAACCAGTGATGACTTACGTCTGTGCTGTGGACATATTAGTTACTGATACTGCAGTTACAGTCAGAGATTTTGTACTTTATTGCAGAAATTTGACATTTTTGTCTTGTTGCTGTGTGGTCTTAAAAGATATTCTTCAAAGTACGTGAATTTTGTCCTGCAATCAAACATTGCATTGATCTGAACTTGAGGTGAATGTGCAAGGAGCACAGTTTTGTTAATGTTTGTTAAAAAACATGGAAGAACAGAGTCCATGGGACCAGTGATGTTGTGCAAAATTTTTATCTGAGGACACCACAACAGAATTGCATGTTCTCCCCGGTTTATTTCGTTAACTTCTCTTAGAATGTCGATGGTCTAGTGGTTAGGCTTCCAGACTTGTTATCATGAGATTGTAGGTTCCGGGGTTTGAGCCTCACCTCAGGCCAACATTGTGTCTCTGGAAAAGCTCTATACACAAATTTTCCCCATTTGGCTTGGTGTTTTTAGAGAGGAACGAAAATCCAGAGGTCCTATCTCTTAAATTTATTACATACAGTGTTGCAAGGGATATTCAACAACACCTACAATTTCTCATATTTTTTCACTTCTGCAAGACCATGGTAATAATTTATAATGATTGTTGCCAAAGGACAAATTATAATTTGTTAACTGAAACTTAAAGTAGTTTAAAGGGTGATATAAATTACAACTTTTGCTTAAAATGAGTGATCAGTACAGAAGTATCAGTAACAATACCAGGCAGTTCCTGTACTACCACACTGCTGTCTTGTTGGATCTTGTATCGTCCATTCCACTGGTCAGTTTGTATTTTGATGAATGTACATTACATGATGTGACGATGATCCCTGCCTGCTTCAGCTCAAATCCTAGACTAGAATTTGGTAGATTTTTTTCCCTTCTCCTAAACCATGGTTTTATGCAATACGCAAATCTATAAAATTTTGACTGAATACTTTTGATCTCCCACACTTTGTATGAACAATGATCTTCACTATCATAAATATCACATTCCTTGTGCATAGATATAATACCATTTCCCTTGTTGTGTCGCTCACCAAGTACTTGATTTGAACTGTCATCTCCCGATGCAAGTCTTATCTTTTTACTTTATCTAGTCTTAAATGTCGATTCTTTCTGTTCTGTTCACAAACCAGAAATATTTGGTTTGTCTCTTCGTCAGTTTTTTTCTGAAGTGAACCCATACATTTCTGTTATATACCTGCTCTGCAATCATAGAAGTTCTAATAAATCTATTTTAGTTCAAATTTACTTTCTTGTGTTTTCTTACCCTCATTTCCTTCTCTGAATTCTAAAAAGCTATCATCAATGTTTGAAGAATGAATGTTTCCAATGTTGTCCTGGTTAGTTACTGCATACGAGATATGTTGACACTGTGAACAGGTCCACTCAGCATCTCACCCCGCCCCCTTCAGTCCATTTTACCACTTCAAAGTTCAGACAGCCGAGACAGACTACTACAGTAGAACATACAGCGGCACCCGCTGCAGCGGGACCATCCCTACAGCGGGACTTTACACCAGAATCCCCTTTTTGTCTCTAGATAAAATCAATTAGATCTAACTGTGCTTGGGTTTAGCGGGACAAGGAAAGGCCCGAACTTGGGATACCGGTACTGCAAGAGAGATCAAGCGAGCTCCAGCTGGGGGAAGGGGCTTGGGGGTGGGGGGCCTGTAGGCAGGCTCCAAACAGGCAGTCAGTGGTGTGGCGTTGTAACTGGCCAGTCCAGTGATGGGTGAGGGGAGGCAGGTGGCAGACAGAGATGGTGTAGAGAAATGCTTTTCGTGTAAGCCACTCTTAAAGTGATGTGCCATAGCCCAAGGCCTTGGCTAGGCCAAAAAAGACAAGTTAAAGACGAGGAGAGCGTGTCGTGTGTGATTTTTCGGCAATTCCCCTTTGCGTTCCTATAGCGGGAACTTGCCTACAGCGGAATTTTTCTTCTTGAACTAGTAGTCCCGCTGTAGCCATGCTCTACTGTATACAGCTGTCCACAGACAAAGCGATGTCACTGCACATTTTATGATTTTCACCAAAAAAAATTTTAACTTTTGACTCGTGGCCTATCTGAATTTATGAATGTTTTTCTAAACATAGTTATCTGGAAAAGTAGATATGTCGCTCTGCCATCGACACTGAGCATAAGATCTGCCATTTAACATTGCTTTATCGCTTTTTTTGGGGTTGTGTTTTCCGGCGCTCGCAACTGCATAAAGTCATTTGAGTGCGCAGGGTACATAAAACTTTTTCAGTAGGTGGGAAATTTTGAATTTTGCCCGGGTGGCAGCCGAAGCCTACTCTTATCGATTTTAGACCACCAAGGGATCTTTACTTTAACTTTAACATGCACACGGGCCCTCTGGGATTTTTCGCCCTTGTCTGAGAAGGCTAAGTGTAGATCTTTCCTCCTACCAGAAGATCAGAAAGACAGCAGTAAGAAGGAGCCAAGGAGTAGCGGTAGAAAGACTGCAGGAGTCAAGAGCCCAGAGGAGAGGGCAAAGGAGGTGAGGGGGTGGGGGAAGATAGAGGAGACGAAAGCAGACGACAGAACATTGCTAGAGAGCAGGAAAGGAGGTGAAAGGAGACAATTTTAGAGAAGGAAATTTTTCGGCCGCTACCTAGATTCGAACCTGGGACCCTTGAATGAGAGGCGAACACCTTAACCTCTAGGCCATGAAAGCCCCCCTTTACCACTTTGAAAACTACTGCCAGTATTTCGGATGTTGATACATTGTCCTGTTTTGATACATGAAGAATATGGACAAGACAAGTATAACGAATAAATTAAAACTTTTAAAAATTGATTTAGTCAAATAAGGCGCAATGCCATGAGTATAGAGCCATAAACCGTATGGTCTGCAGCAATAGCTCATCCATTCGTCCTATTGTTAAAATGTCCTTCAAAGTTTTGTTTTGTTTTAGTAAGAGTTATACGGCACTTGCAACACAAAAAGGTTATATAAGTGCCAAAGATTAGAGGTTTTATAAGAGTAACAAACACAAAAAAGGAGGAGGAGAGATAAGGATGATAGATGTTTGATAGGAAAGAAGGAACAATCCACAACACAGCAATGCATATGTTTTGTGAGTGCGTGCGGGTACCATATATAGAAATCAGATAACTTTTCAACCTTACTCAACAACTGTGACAAGAAACAGGACATCAAACAAATGGCATCAAATCATCTCGGCATTTATTGCATTTCAAAGAGCAGCAGCAAGCAGAAAATGCGTTCAATTTAACATTAAAATTAAGTCGTCAAATGAAGAATAGACCATGGGGAAGATGGCATGTGTTTCTACACTGACAATGAGATGCATTCATTCATCATGTGGCAGTAAATATAACTTAATATAGGCATAGTAAAATCAAGAACTGAACTGAACACATCTTTCTGTCGAGCAGTGATTATATTCTTTCACTTGTACTTGTAGTGATCGTAAACATACACCCAGACAGAAAATCATTTTCTATAAAGTAATCAAGTCATCCCACGATATAAATAACGAAAAAGCGCCTTCTAAAATCTTTCCACACAAATTGAGAAATACTTTTTTTGGTCCACTAACAGAGGTCACTCTACATTCACTCTCAACACAATGGGAAAGTCTGTCAAGACAGAACAGATTCACTTTCAAAGCAATGGGAAAGTCTTGTCAAAACAGATTCACTCTCAACACAATGGGAAAGTCTTGTCAAAACAGATTCACTCTCAACACAATGGGAAAGTCTGTCAAGACAGAACGGATTCACTTTCAAAGCAATGGGAAAGTCTTGTCAAAACAGATTCACTCTCAACACAATGGGAAAGTCTTGTCAAAACAGATTCACTCTCAACACAATGGGAAAGTCTTGTCAAAACAGATTCACTCTCAACACAATGGGAAAGTCTTGTCAAAACAGATTCACTCTCAACACAATGGGAAAGTCTTGTCAAAACAGATTCACTCTTAACACAATGGGAAAGTCTTGTCAAAACAGATTCACTCTTAACACAATGGGAAAGTCTTGTCAAAACAGATTCACTCTTAACACAATGGGAAAGTCTTGTCAAAACAGATTCACTCTCAACACAATGGGAAAGTCTGTCAAGACAGGGGTTTTTTTTCCACTCTACATTCATTTTCAACACAAAGGTAAAGTCTTGTGAAGATAGATTTACTCAACATTCATTCTCAATACAATGGCAAAGTCTGTCAAAACAGACTTACCCTACATTCACCCTCAACACAATGGCAAAGTTTGTTCAGACAGATTTACCCTACATTCACTCTCTCTCAACCCAAAGGGAAAAGTCTTATCAAGACAGATTTGGGAAAGTTTGTCAAGACAGAATTAGTAGAACTGACATCTCAGACTATACAACTGTCAGTTAAATGCTATAAAACACTGGGCGTGGTCAAACGTCTGACCGGGCCTGGTCACCAGGGGACCTAGGAACAAAACGTGTCTTGAGAACAAACAGATACCCGGTGGTGGTTTACAAAAGGAAATGACGGGGAGCTTAAATTTTCACAGTGAACTTGACAGATTTGTTTGGTCCCGGAGGTCCTGCCTTGAACAGCGCTCGATGGATTGTGGGGATCTCGATTGGTGCTTCGGGCAGGGAACCAATGCCACTTTTCTTGTATAACCTGGAGGTGAGAGAGCGAACAGGTCGTCAAACATTCCTCAACAGTCAGCAGATCAGTTTTGAAAAAGAGGTGGACATCAACAGAAAAGTTAACAGTCATTTAGAACACTGATAAAGCAAGATGGACAGACAGAGAGAATTGAGGTTAAAAAAAGAAGTATAATCAAATTTTCAGTATCGGTATCAGTTGACACCCTCAACTCTCAGCAGATCAATCTTAAAAATCACAACAAATCTGCTCTAACAGCCACCTGTATAAGACAAGACAATCACCAGTACGAACAACCACTTCCCATTTCCCCTCTTGCATTTTTTAAAAAACATTATAGTGACACTGTGCAAGACGTCCACTTGTCTAAAAAGGTCACTTCGTCAATTTCAACAGCACTTAAAATTATTTTTTTTTATTTAAAAAAATAATTTTTAATGCCAAAAAAAGAGGCCGCTGAAGATGAGGTGATGAAAACCAGCACTACCATCCACAAATGTTGTTAATGACATAAGATGAAAGAAAGCGTGTCATCACACACACTGCCCAAATGAGATTTACATCATCACCTAAAACTTTCTGACTGAAATGACCCTGTACCAAAAAGTTCTGCAGTGACTTTGATCTTATGAAGTAGTTTACTGTGAAGAGTTTTTCTGCCACATTCAACAGTGAAGTTATCTGTACACTATTAGACCTACCTGAGCGCTTCCCCTGTGATGTCTGGGTCCACGTCTCCAGCTGCTTTCTTCACCACGGCCGCGACCGGTGTCGTCATCTTCACATACATCGGCTGACCTGGAAGAAAGATGCAAGTCACAGAATTATAATTTTAAGTTACAGATTTATTGCTCTTTTTACGTATTGGGAGTAAACAGAAGAAAGTCAAAGTTTTAAGACACTCACCGTCTCTGCGTGCCATAACTTTTACATGAAATGTATCCACCTATATATGTATAATCTAAATCCTCCCCATGCACTGACAGTCAAATATTTGAAATATCTTCCATGACCAAAAATAACAGTTTTGCTCCAAATCCTTTCCTAAAAATCTGAGTTGTGGAAAAACATCAGTGCCTCCGGAACCCCAGTATATTCAGATTACATTACAAACTGATCATGCCAAATAAAAATGTAACGCAAATCACAACTCATGTACATACAGCAAAAAAAAAAACCCCTGTGTATCTTCACATCATTTACGAAAAGTTGCATTCGACCAGTGGAAACATAATTCAAGAAAAAAAAAAGATTTTATGCATATCCTATCAGGGTTCTTCTAGGGGGGAAAAAATTAGAGGGGTCCATATTTTATCAGAGTATTTGGCAGGTCTACCTAAGACATCTCTCACTGTCTTCAGTTTTACATGAAAAATAATCACCTGGATATTTAAAGTAAATCAGCATACTGACACACAAATGTTCTAAGTCACTCATTATCTTAGTTTTAATTTTAGTAAAAGTTTTATGGCACTTGAAAACACAAATAGAGGTCATATAAGTCCCGAAGATTATAAGTGTTTTTAGAGAGAAACATACAAAGAAAGGAAGGAGAGATAAGGACGACAGATGTTTGTTAGGAGAGAAGAAGGAGCAAAACATTTCCGAGCACCCACCAACCACCCGCACTCACCGTCCAACTCTCGACTGTGGTACTTCTGCACGGCACTGACGGCATCCGGCTTGCTGATGTACACAACTTCTGCTGAGCCGGGCTTGAGCAGTTTGGCCTTCTTCAGGGGACCCACAGCACCAAACAGTTCCTGAAAACATTCGCCACACAACAGAAACTAATTAACCACACAACAGAAACTAATTACGGAACGAACAATATACATGTGTACCTGACAAAATCCCTATATTTTTCATAGTTACAACACTTCACTCAGCCAGTAATAAGCCTTAGCTTAGCGGAAAGTGCTGCAGGACCACATGGAAAGCAGAAAACAATATTTTTTCATAAACAACTCTTTGTCTTCACAGAAATAGGCATATAGTCAGTTCATAGATGATAGAGGCTTCATGATGTGCTTTGGTCTCGGTTCTAAAGAAACAAACAACACAAGCACCAATATATAACGCAACATAAGGCAAAGGAAATCCACTCTGATTTTGGCAGGTGAAACCTATGTTAACATTTCATTAACCCTATCCGTATGTCGTGTTTTACTATCGTATCCATACCACGTGGGGAATTCTGTGCCACCACTTTCAAAGAGGAAATTTACTCGTTAATCCGATCCGTACGCTTTGCATAGCTGTCTGTCAAAATGATTTTATGACATATACTGAAAGTGTCAAAGAGATCTTCATACTAGAAGTATTTTAAAATGTGAAGAATAAAACCAGGGGTACAAAATGACCCCAGGGCGTATGGATAGGGTTAAGTCTCTTTCTCTTATATGAAGAACTGCTGCTTTATAAAATATCTGCAGAAACCAGGTACCCAGTAGCTGCAAGAGAATTTTGTTCATAAACCATTGGCCGTATCTCTGCACAACCAGGTCAGCGTAACTTTCCATTACACACAGTACTTAACAAATAAAACTGACATACAACCAACCAAATAAACAACGCACAGGTACAACCAAATGCACAAAGGGCCATCTATGCCCATCTTAGACCAGGAAGGTTATCCAAACTTCTCTCAATGCACTGACTCCCACTAAGTTTTTCTTAAATCACAGAACTCACAATGATGTCGTCTTGTGTGACTCCATTGAACAAGTTTGTCACCATCACACGGTAACCCTGTAGGGGGCTGATCACCGCGCCGTCACTCTCCTGGGAAAACAAACACAATTTGCTGTAGTGTTTTTACTGGTAATATACTAGACCATTACAAAGACCAAGAATTTTTAAAAAACCAACACTTGGTCATACAGGTATTATAATTATTATACATAGCATCAGCATGAGGAAAGAATAAAGGATATTTTGTTGTAAAAAGTTCAGACTTTCACAAAGACTGAGGACCAAAAAAAGAGTACATGTAACATTTCGTCATAAAGCACCATACTATTACAGGAAGAAAATTGTATAGAGTGGGGAATAAGAAAATGAGAACTGTTTCAAGGATACACCACAATAATCACTCATCTACAAACGATGCTACTTGACACAACATGACATTACACACGTTTCATATTTTCACAGGCCTCAGTCTGCACATATCAAAATGCAAGCAACCAACCCTAGGTGCTCTGTGACATCATAAAAAATCGTTGGTAATAACTCGTTGCAGGCGCATTTTACAACCAATGTATTACACATGTCTGTCATGATTTCTGAAATATCCATGCACAACTGAAACGATACAAAAAAAACTTTAAAATATGGGACCTGGACATAGAAATGTTAACAAAACAGTAAGCATACAAAGAGAGTAATAAAAAGGGAAAAAACAAAGCAGAAATTCTATACCGTATTGCTGATTGTTAATGTTTTTTCACCAAAGATTTCCAACGTCTTACCAAGTCAATAATCTCCAAGTCCTCCGCAACAGCCGCCTTTGACTTCTTGTTTGGGGAGGGGTCAAGGTCGATACCTGGCCCACCACCTCGGCCTAACCTCAGCGGCCCCGACACATCGGGAGCTGCCACCGGCTTCCTCTTGAGGCCAGCGGGGGAGATCTTGATCGACGGGGTCACAGTTTTTGTGGCGAGTTGTCTGCTGGGCTGAGAGACGGAGGCAGCACCAGGGGGCGCACGCGGGGGGTGTTGGGAGAAACCTCCCGAGTAGGACACCGGCCGCATGCCTGCCGCCTCCACCGTCTTCAAACTGGACATGTGCACCTTGGGGATCTCGGGGACAGAGATGGAGGAAGGATTGTACTGCGGGTTATCCCAGTCTTTGTAGCCGCGCGATTGGGGGAAGGGCGGAGGCTCAAAGTACGCCGCTTCCTCTTGGTACTCCCCGTAGCCGGGCTCCCGGTACGCCGTGGGCTGTGGGTACTGGGGGGCTGGAGGGTGCGGGTGACCACCGCGGGAAAGCGTGGGCTGGGGAGGGGCGGCCGGGTTCCTGTAGCGGTCGTTGCGGATTTGGATGATGGGGACAGCATCGGCTATTTGTGGCGTCATGCCTGGAACAGGCTGTCGACAAAATGACACAACAAGGGATAAACATTTCCATCATTCTTCCAGTTTCAAAATTCAGAAAACTTGCAAAGTACCAAGACTTTCCAACTTATTACCAAACAAACTTGACACACTCAAATATTGAAGTCGGCTTTCATACAAATTTCTTACAGCAGTGAGAGTGAATTTGTACACATCACTACAAACACGTTTAAAAATTGTAAAACCATTTAATTTTTCCCTTATGACCCTTGTGCAAAAGATTGATGTGGGACAATAAAGTCTCAAAACAACAACAATAGCCTATCTGGAAAAAACAAGTTAAGCCTTTTTCAATACTGCATACAGTTATAGTGTAAGAGTCACATAGGGGAAGCGAACAAATATAATACAAAACGTAAGTACGAAAAACAAATCTTTCCTGAAAAAGAGTTGTCAAGAAAGGAAAAAGCTAAGCAACACAGAGATGTATACCTAAGTAAATGACAGTGTTTTCTACAGCTACAAGAAAGTTGCGCATATGTGAAACCACATCTACAGTATTTTTTGGGTTCAAAATTTTTTTATATTTCACAGCAATATATTTAACTAATGAGTCTGCAGCAAACCTCTGGAAAATGCTCCTTTCACTTGGAAACCATGTCAGAGGGCAAAGGGCAAAGACAGGAAAAAGAGTCAAAGACAAAAGACAACAACAACAAATCAAACAACCAAAATCCTGTCTCTTAAGTAACAACTGCACTAGTCCCGCACCTTGTTACGTTTTGTGACCTGCAGGGACGAGCCAGTGAAGGAGACTTCTGTGCTGGGGACGGGCCGGGTCACCTGTAGACCCCCGGGGGTCGCTCGTACCTGGCCACGGCTCTTGGCATTTGGGTTGGACAACTGGGCAATGTACGGGATACAAATACAGCATTTTATCAACCAACGCTTCGACACACACCACAGCGCTTTGATTAAATTGATACAAAACACTTTATTACACATCCATTCAACATATCTTTATCACATAAAAGGATTACTATTGATACTATAACAATATGAAAGTACAGCAACAATAAGCATAAAGATCAGTCATTGCTTCTCATCCACACTAATCTAATTTGATTATATAGCTATCATTTTCCATACTCTTCTGACTTTATTTAACTCACTAACCTCTGATCCCCAAACACAGACAGGATCAGATTTTCACATTTTTTCCAAGAAGGCCATCTGATAATGCAATATAATATAGTTCTTGTACCAAACTTAAGTTTAATCATTTTCCTAACCAGAAATGAAGATTTCTCAAATACGGGAGTAGTTTAGATAAAAAAACACCTTTCACATTGGTGACACTGTAGAGGCCTAAACACCTGATTTTATCTTTTAACTTCTCTATCATAAAAAAATACCAGATCGAGGAACGTTTGAGGACATAGCAAAGCAGTATTAGAATAATTAGGAAAAATATAGATATATATCTAAAACTAGTCCTTATATTTTTGGTTACAATAATTTATTTTTCTGTTACTTTCTGTTACATTCAGTGAGGAGATAAATTTTCCAGAATTGAAAATAATGGGACATTAGAAAATTTGGGTAAAATTTTTTAAAACAGATTTTAATGTTGTAAAGTGTCAAATATTATAATGAGGGAGAAATGTATCATTACATAAGCCAAAAAAAAGCCGGTATTTCAATTTTTACATTCCTGAGAATTTTTTTTAAATGCGTGAAAATGACTAGTACTGGGAGACCATTGAGATTCCGGACTTGCCAGGGCTTAGAATTACACAATATTCACCAACGTCGCTTCCAGATTACTTTGTTATATAGTATTTTAATCATGCTCTCAAAAGACACAAAATTCTTTTCGGCTAAAACAACAACAGCAACTGCATGTCAAATTCCAAAAGATTGCTGAGATATCTTACCGTCCTTGTGAGTGGTCCTGGGGCTGTCACGGGGGTGGGTTTCTGAAAGATGAACAGAGCATACACTCAGATGAACAAGTCAAACCACAATACAATTTGGTTTTCATATAACATCATCCAAGACCATTCCAATCTATTACATGACTGGACTGAAAATATTCATGGCAGTGTTCATTTTTTCTCCGATTTATTTTTTAAATCAGTGTCTTTTGCACATTAAAATATAATCTAAATGGGACACACCTATGGGAGTGCATACACACTTACAATGAAACTAAGTCACTGATTTCGGACTCAAAAAACACTCTGACTCATTAAAAGAAGAAGCCTCTGTTTCTTTTTCGCTCACTTAAATTATTAAAATTCCATGTATTCACCAAACACCAAAACAAACAAACCCACTAACATTGCTTGCAAAGCAAACAACCCCCACTGAATTGTTCTCCTGCATCAAACTTTTTGTCTACTCTACTGAACAGGATTGTTGATCACTCTGTATTGTGGATCATTATACATATATATATATAGCTTTTATTGTGTCATATAGTGTACTTTATGACTGGACTTTTCTGAGACACTCAATCATCTCATGCAAACAATCAGAAGCCTTTGAGAATATTCCCTCACATACACACACAGAAAGAAGTATAAAAGTAACACTCACAAAGGCAGGGGGAGGAGGACCACTGCCCGGGCCGCCCGGCCCCTTCTTCCGCACTGCCTTCTGAGCCTGTCTCTGCAGCAAGGACCGAGCGTCAAACGTGCCCTTCTGAACTTGTTTCTGGACAATTTTGTTCCGTGCATCTCCACCACCACCTTTCTTTATGACAACTATTTTGTCTCTGGCATCAACCACGGCCTTCGGGCCCAACTTTGACCTCGCATCAAATGTCTTCCTTATTTGTAGTTTCTGAGGAGGAACATTCTGGCCGACGCCAGCACTGGTTCTCTGTTGGGGTTTCCGTCTCTGTCCAGCTTGAGGATTACTGGGAGAAAACAAGGAGGGACAGTCAAAACCAAAGTGGACAAATACAGTTGAAATTCCGAAATTGTCTAAAGACAGCCATCCATTGTCAAAAAGAAAAGTAGCTGTCTTAAACAAGTGGACATCTTAGTGTCTTTATACTTTTTTCTAAAAACCAAAAGGGGGAAATAACAAATGATCATTAGTACAGGTAGTTGTCTTGTACAGGTGCTGTTAGAGCAGACAACATTAGACTGTATTACGTTTCAATCAAGCTCAATTTCAACCAATGAGGCTAAAACAATTCACTGACATTTAAAAAGGCCAAAAACCAAGATGAGTCACAACGGCCCCAATTCCCAACATCAACAATTACCTTCCAATATATATCTGTGGACTGTGTATAGTGAGTGCAGTGAAGTCAAGTTTTTTGCTCATATATACAGTTGCGAGCCCTGTAAAACCTCTACTAAAACTAAAAGTGTAGTTTAGTATTGTAGTAGTAGTGAAGTTAGTGTAATCTATGACTATAACAGACTTATTTAATTACAAATTACACACAGTGTGATTAGGCTAATTTATATGCAATAAGCAGAGTTGAAGTGACTATGCAGACTTAAGTTTGATTAAAAACAAAAATTATCTATATTCAGACTCTGAATCGAGTCCAGCATGACGTCACTTCCGACTGAGCTTTATCTTCCATGTCTTTCCCTAGAGTTAGTGGTCAACGCTGGGATCACTCGGCCCCCTAAACTACACCAAAGATATCCCTTGACTACATCTACAATCAATCTTTTATTTGTTTTTAATTTTCCGCTGTAAAAATGTGAGTAAAACCCCCCGAGGAATGATGGACAGAAAAAAAAGCCCGAACATGTATCCCGTTGATACTGGTGTACAGGCAAGTCCAAAGCACAATGAAGGGGGGGGGGGGTTTGCAGGGGGGAACATTCCCCCCTATTACTATTTTGACCCTAATTTGATGTTTTGCAGTCAGGTTTGAAATTTTCTTCAAAAAAATTTAATTTGTGACAGTTTAAAAGTTTTAGTGACGAGCGGACAGCTAGAAAACGACAACTAAACGCTATTGGCCGATATATCTAGACCTATAGTAACACTACAGCCGTCTTGTTTCACCTCACAAGGGGGATGCCCGTTGCGTCATCTGATCGTGATGATTTTGCGTAGCGTGCGGCTTGCACTGGCAGTTTCCCTTAAAAAAGAAACGATCCGGATCAAAATGGCCGATCATTTACACTGCATCGTTGAACTTTGTTTAAACTGTAACTTGCTTTCGTACGTAGGCCTACTTTTAGTCTTCTTCTTCTCAGTTTATGTAGTGTACAGCATCAGAATCAATCTGGGCGGGAAGAAGGCCGCTGCACAATCACAGACAACCGAATCAAACAGTTCTGCAAGTTGCAAAGCAAAGCAAATGGAAGAGGCAAGCCGTACTTAATGACGGCTAGACTGGCAGTCTAGCCGTACTTAAGTACGGCTAGACAGCTTGGCTAGCCGTACTTATTCTAGATGACGGCTAGACTGACAATAAAAAGAAAATAGGCCTACTGAATTGTAAATATATAAAATTTTAGTTTGCAGTACCTCTAAAGTATTTGTATTTGAGACAAAACCAGGTGCCCTAGTGCATGTATTTTAAACCTCCTGTTTTCTAATGTTAATAGGGCCTAAGATTAAGTACCGCTAGACTGTCAGTCTAGCCGCACTTAAATACGGGTAGCAGCCAGGCTAGCCGTACTTAAGGACGGCTAGACTGTTAGGCTAGCCGTACTTAATATTGACGGCTGAATTGTAGATGAAATTTTTAGTTTGCAATGCCTAAAGTAAGTATTTGTAATGTATTTCAGACAAAACCAAAAGGTGCCTTACTGACTTGCATGTATTTGAACCTGAATAATTACTAGATCTAGATCTAATGAGACCTGTGTACTTAACAGGTTTGAGTCGATAGGGCCAAACCTAGGTAAGTACAGCTAGCCACTTCGAAGAAAATTGAAAATAATCCGAGTCGGCAGACTGCCATCGTGCGGTCGTGTTGCCACCATGACATGACTGACAAAGTGGGAATCCCTCAATGACATCAAACAATATAGGCCAATGGCTCTAGCTATCTGCTCGTCACTTGTCGCGGCTCATGTTTTAGTGGTTCAGCTCAGCACAGTGACAGTGATCAGTTGGATCCCCAACCCCAAGCAAGGCAGTGCATCTCTGTGGGCGGGAGTGAAAGTAAAAATGTACCAGTTTGCCCCCCTGTTTTAACCCATATTGGGATATGTTACCGTTAGATTTGAAATTTTCTTGAAAATAATTGATTTGCGACAGTTTTAGTGGCTTTATAACTTTATAATACTTTATTTGTGATCTGCAGCAAACAGTACTGCAGTTTTTGACCCTGAAGCAGTGCATCTGTGTGCGGAAGCGAAAGTAAAAATTTACCAAACTTGCTATTATATTGCAGTACTGAATGAACAGCGGTCCTAGTCTGTCAATGCAATTAGAGAAATAATTCTTTTTGTCACTTCAGTAAGGCACTGACTGTACTGTAAGGGAGAAACCGAAACTTCGCTGAAATGGAAAGACGCGACGCAGTGACAAAGAAAACAATAAAAGTCCAGATTCTATGACAAGTCAATTGAAATCAACTTGTAATAATAACATCTAAATAACTCAGCATGTGTTCACTGGGGGGAGGAAATCAAATTGACAACTTACTTTAATCGCACTTTCACATTTTTAGTCTTTATGAAATCGTCAAGAGATATATCCGCCATGTTGAAGAAAATTGCTATTATAATGCAGTACTGAATGGACTGCGGTCCTAGTCTGTCAATGCAATTTGATAAATAATTCTTTTTGTCACTTCAATAAGTACAAAAAATGTATTGAGATTTTTCAGTATAGCTCCAATAGCATCTATGATACTCATATAATTATTTCTTCTCGATATTAAAAGCCACTGTTAACCCCTTATATCCATAGATAGTCACCTGAATGACCGCGGTACAAATCACGCGCAATGGGCTAGGCTAGCATATGAACTTCATATTACACAACGCGCAAATACATGTAGATGACGGAAAAGAAAACACAACAACAAAAGATCATATAAATATCTTGCAGACGATAGACCTTAAAGTACGTCCAGATGGAACCAAGACATTAAGGATCAACTTCTATCGGGGCAACCGTGGGGGCACCACTGCATTTGACAACCAGCTCTCGCCATTTCTCGCTGTCCTCTGCTTTCCTCAGATTGTCATCCATCGTCTTTCCTGTCCACTCTGTAATGTTGTCTTTCCATCTCCTTCTCTGCCTTCTTCTCTTTCTCTTTCCTTGTACTGTTCCTTGTAGGATTGAAATGAAATGATCGAGTTACACCAGCAGTAAAGGGAACTGGCATGATTTTTTAAATTGTTTCTTTAATTTCAGATCTTGGAGGAACAGACGCAAATGTCAAGACAGGAATAGGAAAGGCAAGAAGTGCTTTCACACAACTAAGAAACAATCGGAAACCTCTCTTTCTTTGAAGAACCTGATAATTATAGTTAAGAACCATGATGAATATTTTTAAAAACAGCATACAAAAATGTATCAGCAGATCAGAAACATGATATAGACACATACAAAGTAAATTTCTAAACAGCTGCAGATATCGATGATCAACAGAAAAATCCAAGGCACTGACACAGTAACAAATGAACAACTATGAGAGAAACGAAGGTTAATTTTTAGCAAACAAAGCAACAGAAAACAGATAGAATAGAAATCAGAAAAAAATGAAAGTGGTCGGGCACACTTGAAAAAACTTTTAAAAATCATTATACCAAGCCTTGAGATGGAATCCATTTGGAAAGAAAAAGATAGGCAAGCCTTAAGTAGGCCTACTTGAAGGACGGCGACGCATTAAATATTCGAGATGGATATTATAGGCCTATACGTAAGGTGCGTCATGGATACCGAGGACAGAACGTGATAGACAGTGCTCTTAAACTGTTGGGGGACTGTACTCAAGTAAAATTACTCAAGACCATATTATAATATAATCTTCATCTGCCTTTAATTTTTACAATGATGAAGATGATGAGAAACCGCTACTGCCATTCGTCCTTCTGATAAGTCACCGACAAAAACTTTGACTATGTTTATCAGCCAAATGACAATATTTTTATAGTATATATATAATATAATATACATGAAGTAGTCTAAATTTCGTGTTTTTCTCTAATTTACCCCCCCCCCCCCCCCCCCCCCCCCCACACACACACACGATCTTAATCTTAACAAACTTTTTCACCTCTACATTGTTCAAACATATCAGGCGACTGAAAACACAACAAATCAGACAATTGTTGGAATTCTTTGAAGTGATATAGATTCTAGATCTAGATCTAGTTTGTTTGTTTTTTTAAATTTCAGTTTCATGTTACGTTTGACACTCGATCTCGGCCCATTTTTAATTTTTGAGGATCGGCATGTAATAGATCTAGGCCTAAAGAGTTAATTTTTTTTCGACGCGAACGCCACCTTGAGAATGTTTACTACTAACAACGAGGAAGAACCTCCGATTGGCCAGTTCGAACAAGCCGCTCTCTCTCACTTGAATTCAGAACGATTCTCTGAACACGGTAAGTGAAAACACAATTTCTACGGTGATTCTGTCTAAAAAGACTAGAATCTAGGTTTGAAGACAAATTTTGTTACAGCTCACACGTCTCATTGAAAGCGAACAGGTCTTGCAGTTCACAAGGTTCTATTTTTCGTAATTTTCTTTGAATATATAAGTCTGCTAACCACTTACACGAGTGCCATGTTGAATGTTGATTTTCCAGTGAGAATAGAATAGATACGGCACAGCCTGACGACTGACGGTAGCCCTACTGGTACTGGTTGATGTTCTACTTTAGTCAAGAGAGAATTGCTTGGGGAAGATCTAGATTCTAGGTCTAGAATCTTAGCTTTTTAGTTTTCGAAATCTGTAGGCTATGAACTGATTAAGAAAAAAAAGTGGGCAAACGGCGACAGATGGCCATGCTGAGACTGCGATTGGGAATAGGGAGACACAATGCGTGACAAGGCTGACAAAGAAAGAAAGAGGACATCACTAAAATCACTGTCGTCAGTCTTACTTTTAGGCTAGACGTCTAGATCTAGAGTCTCTAAAGATCTAGATTCTACTTTGTCTTTGAACTTGAAGTGAAGGATGAAGTAGAAGTGTCTGCTTTAACTTTACGAAAAGTGAGCATTGACTCACTGAGTGAATGAAGAATTTCTGCTGTAAATTTGCAGTAAGCCTATTGTTTGACCTATCTCACACTCCTTTGCCTCTATCCTGTGATTTTGTTTTTGGGTGTGTGTGTGGTGTGTGATTTGAATGGAATTAACTCTTGTCCTGTGTCTGTGCTGAGATGCGAATCTATCAGCAACCGATTACGTGGGTGTTATATGTTACAACTTATTTGAGTCTTGGAGTAGTAGATCTAGATTAGTTGATGTTGGTGGGGCCCCACCTGCCAGTCGTCTGCTAGAATCTAGTTCTTCGTTAGTTGATGTTACTCGCTTCGGCTTCAGTGAGAGAGTGACCTTCAGATTTCCCGCCGCTTGCATGAAATCACAGTCACGTGATTATACGTCCCTTAGGCCTACGTCACAATAATTATTATTAAGGTGTGTTCACACTACATGTCCTTCTATTCTTAAGATATATGTTTACACCACAGTGGGACGTTCCGGGCAGGCCGCCGAGGGTCACTCAGTGTGTACTGTTGGTGTACAGAGTGTGTGCGCCTGGAAACGTGTGTTTTCCCCATGAATACCGTGGGAGTGTTTTAATCTATAAAATGACGCTCTATCTTTCATGCTTTCTATTTTTATAAACGAAGTGTATACAGACTCGGTAACCGGGAACAAAGTCACGAAGTATACAGACCCGGTAAGGGAACTCTTTTGTGATTTCAGGAAGTTTCAGCGCCCAGACCCGGTAGTGTGTTTGTGTGAGAGAGAGAGAGGTGCTTACAAAATATGACATGCCCCAGTTGACAGAGTGGGAAATAGATGGGGAGAGAGAAAGACAGACAAACAAAGAAAAAGAAGGCGAGCGATGCACAGAGGAGCGAGAGAGAGAGGCAGAGAAATAGAGAGGGTCACTGCTCGATTGAAATTATGCATTGTTCTTTTCTTCAAATTGTGATTCCTCCAACTCCGAAACGGAGGAAAAACGATCGTTCATCGAAAAGATCCGCAATCTTCATTTAGATCTAGATCTAGGCTAGCCTCGAAATTAGATCAATGATTTGTCTGTCTGTCTAGATCTAGACCTAGGCCATAGATCTAGAAGAACCTAGGTCTCTGAGCCAAGAGGGCGCTGAAACTTTCCGAAATCACAAAAGAGTTCCCCTACCGGGTCTGTATACTTTGTGATTTTGTTCCCGGTTACCGGGTCTGTATACACTCCCATTTATAAAGTGTTACAAACATATGAATAACCCCCACTCATTTATATAAGCTGATTTAAGACATTGCGAGTAGTTACGCCCATTCGAATAACCTTTCCAGACGCTATTGTAATGAATGACCTGGGGTTCGAAAGGGAATAAAAGATGCACTGCTTCGGGGGTCAAACTGCAGTAGATCTACTGTTTGCTGCTAATCACACATAATGCCACTATAACTGTCGCAAATCAATTATTTTCAAAAAAATTTCAAATCTAACTGTAAAATATCAAATTATGGGATAAAACGGGGGCGCCCCCCCCCCCCCCCCCCCCCCCCCGAGATTTTCTTTTACCCCAGTGGGGCAGGCCCATCCATTGAAACCGTAGGCCTAGATTTCTAGATAGATTTTGAGCCAAAATTCAAATGATTTTGAGGTTCAAATCTAAATTCATCCTCCCATCCCACCCACTAAAAAAAAATAATGATAAAATCACTGACTTGTCATTTCTCTTTGAGATGACTCATGTTTTTATTAGCCTTAACTCAGACAAACCTTGGCTTTCTTCTTTTTATTAGATCTAGACATATAGATCTACAGATATATATATACTTATTCTGGTTGTCATTGCTCACCATGGCAAGTGTGATTTTTTTGCTTTCTAATCTTTATATTTCAGATTACTTTCAAGACCAAGCAGTTGGAGGCCCAATTATGGATGAGTACTCAAAAATCGAAAAGATTGGTGAAGGTAAGTTGAAACTTTTTAGACAGAGTCTGAAAGGGTTTACTGTGGAATTTTGAGCAAATTCAGAGTTGGAATTACAAACATGTTTCATTCTCATTTTGAATTTCAATTGAACACACACACTTGACACACACAAGCACCTTGTATGAACAAATTGTAGAAATGTTTTATGTTTTATTTCTTTCGATTTCACAATAGAAAAAAATCGTTTATCTTGATGTCTAGGTACCTATGGTGTGGTGTACAAGGGCCGTCACAAAAAATCAAATCGTTTGGTGGCTTTGAAGAAAATTCGTTTGGAAAATGAAGAGGAAGGAGTCCCTTCTACGGCCATCAGAGAGATTTCACTGTTGAAAGAGCTGGAGCACCCAAACATTGTGATGTGAGTTGCTGCCACGTTTTAAAAAAAATATATCAAATGGACAATTGTAGTGAATGATGTGCAAAGTGCTCCAAGTTTGATTTAGTAAGAAATGTTTTACTTTTCTGGATGTATATATTCATAAACAGTGTTTCGAGAGCTTTATTCTTTTATTGGTTGACTTGAGCTCAGTTTATGTTGATTTTTTTACTCCCATGGTATTGTTTTAGATTTAGAGCTATTTTGGTTTCAGTAAAGACATCTAAAACGATTCTTAATATTTTCATGAAACCGATAAGTATACAATACCATGCAAAAAAAATTAAATCAAATCAGTTGTCACGTTGTGAGTAACAAAAAAGAATATTTTTTTTAATATCATTTTTTTTTTAAGATGGGGACATTGAATGGTTTTTTATTTAAAAAACTTACACTGCTCATTTGTTTTCTTTAAAGTTAGAAATGCTTTTATTTTTATTTCCTTGATTTTACTTCCAACATAATCGGGGGGGAAAGGGCAAATCAAGGAAACAATTTATTCCTGACTGAAGTTGAAATGATTTTTTATGGCTTATGTGACAATTTTACAATTGTATCTTGAATACAGAAATATGGATAAAAATAAGAGATAGATTTGCCGAAAAATTTACGCATAATCAAATTGAGTAGCCTACCTGTTTGTATGTAAATTTTTGCAATTTTTGAATTTCAAATGTTAACAATACAATTGCCTTACTTATGATCTCAAGGGTTTGTTTTTTCTTGTGCTTAGGCTGGAGGATGTGTTGATGCAGGAGGGTAAGCTGTACCTGGTGTTTGAGTTTCTCTCCATGGACCTCAAGAAATACATGGACAGTCTGCCCAAGGACAGACTCTTGGACTCACAGCTTGTGAAGGTAGCTTTTGGGTGCTTGGCAGGTGCTCGGCAGGTGCTCTGTTGTGGTTTCCTTCTTCCTTCTTCTTTCTTTTAGGTACCAAACTTCTGTTACCCTTATCTTCTTGTTGTATGTTACTCTTAAATACACCTCTAATCTTTGGCACTAAGGTATGTTGGGATTGTTTGTGGGTTTTTTTTTTGGGGGGGGGGTTCTCCTACCACTTGAAAAGGCCTATTACTTTTTAAAAGCTATTATAGCTGTCAGTTTTAAATGTCTGTGACTGTTAAACAAATGAGAGATGTATCTCGATTTAGTTCCTCTTATTACTTTTGTTTTATAATATTTGTTCATATCATTCTTCAGTGCATGGATGATAGACTTGACATATATTTCATAACCTAATGAAGTACACACACACACTCACCAACCCCCCCCCATATCAACCTAATTCCCTTCATGTTTTATTGGCTCTATTGCTAGACATCTTAAATCTTACAGAACTCAGATGTGTCATACATGAAAAGACACAAACATTGATTGATCGTCAGTTTGATGCAGGCTTTGAAAAGATCGGGGGGGGGGGGGTATTTAAAGAAAAATTAAAATGCATAGAATTAAAAATACATTAGACTGGGCACCCACCACGCGAATTAAATAAACCTTAAAAAACAATGAGCTTTCAGTCTGAATGGTTAGTGGTTTGGCATGTAAAATTAGCATGAAGTTACATTATTTGACCAGGAGCTGTAAAGCTGCCTAGGGCTGATGAGTCGCACTAAGTGCAAGGCTAAAAATTGTGGGGAAAGTGAGCAGCGTTAATTCTGTTATCTTGTCTAGCGGCGTTGTTTGTTCAAAATATGTTTGCAATTTTTAAAAAATTGTTCACTTACCATGTTTGTGCATCATCGTGTGTTTTCTTCTAAGTCTTTATAAAAATAAACACTTTTGTTGCAGAGCTACCTTTATCAGATCACAGCGGGCATTTTGTTTTGCCACATGAGGCGTGTCCTTCACCGCGACTTGAAGCCACAGAACTTGCTCATCGACGACAAAGGAGTGATCAAACTGGCAGACTTTGGACTGGCCAGAGCCTTTGGGGTCCCTGTCAGAGTTTACACACACGAGGTTTGAAAGATACAGCATACATTTTGAGTAAAAAGAAAGTAGCTCTGATTAGGGTACTTTGGCTTTCTATTTGATGCTTTTCTTTAACATGTAGCATATCACTTCTTAGGACTCAAGTCGGGCATACATACGTTCTCATCTTAATAATTTGGCTTTTAAAAAAAAGTAAATTGATGGGACTAGAAATTTGAAATGTAGAATATTGGGTTGGTTTTGAAATTGATTGGGGCTTGGTGTTGTTTTTGTTGGGTGGGGGTGTTTGATAATAGTAAACCGTTCAAAATCGTTTGAGCTTCCCATTTGATCTTTTGTCTTCCTGTTTCATACATGTATGTGAAGGAAATTTGATGTGTTGTATGTTGTCTGTATATATCCCATCTCAGGGTGAGTGGTTGGAGCGTAACACTTGAAAGCCCTACTTCTTTACTATTTCTTTTGTTTCTGTCATTAGACTACTTTTCAGTGGGTGGTTGGCGGATGCTCTGGTGTGGTTTGCTTCTTCTTTCCCATCAAACATCTATCGTCTTTATCTCCCCCTTCTTCTTTTTTATGTTTATTACTCTCTTGAAACACCTCTAATCTTCTGGCACTCATATGACCTTATGCAGTTGCGAGCGCCGTAAAACCTCTACTAGAAAGACTACTTTTCCCTGTTCTAAATGGCTGTTTAAATTGTGTTGATTCGCTTCTGTTTGATTCAAAACTGACGCCTCGTGGTTGATAACAAATTATATGAATGTCTGTGCCTCAGGTTGTGACTCTGTGGTACAGGGCACCAGAGATCTTGCTGGGCTCACAACGGTACTCCATCGCCACCGACATCTGGAGCATCGGGTGTATTTTCGCTGAAATGGTCAACAAAAGACCTCTCTTCCACGGGGATTCAGAAATTGATCAACTCTTCCGCATTTTCAGGTAACAAGAAAGTAACGCTAAAGTTTTAAATTTTTAAAAAAGGTCAGTATTGCTTGTTAACTAGCATAGAAACGAGCGTGCTGTAGAGCATGGTTGTGCATTGTGTATGCAATTATTATTGTTATTGCTCGTGCACCTAAATGGATGTCTCGCCAACCTCCGTGGGACTAAAATTCAAGAAAAAGAACGATAGCAGGGATGCCACTTTTCCGCTTTTCCCCAGTATTTTGATCCTGATCCGCTATTCCGTTATTGAGATCAAGACAGAATCTATAGTTGGAAAAAAAACAACCCACGCACAACTTGTTTTTGTTACTTTGTCATTTCTCTCTATGTACACCCATTGCTTATGTTTGTTTGTCATTTCTCTCTATGTACTCCCTTTGGGTTTCAAATTGATATGTTGATATGTTAGCGAGACTGTGGCGCTTGGATTTTCAGCTATTTAAAACAAAGTTGAGTGGCATCCCTGAGATAGAGATTGGGGGGGGGGGGGATATTGTTAGAAAAGAAAGGAGCATTAATTGGTATTTGCAGTGGGTAATCTATGTAATGTGATGATTTCATTCTTTTATCGATTCTGTTATAACAGGAATATTACAGTGATCCTCTTAAAGCTAGGCCCTACTGTATTAATAAATTAATTGATCATCTGTGAGATTTTGGCTCCAGTTAATATGCTTTCTGTGCATTTCATTATATGATGATTTACTGTGGGTTTGTTGTTTTTTGTTGAGAATTCTGTTAGTGGAAGGATGTTGGGTGCTCTAGTGGGGTTTGCTTCTTCTTTTCTATCAAATATCTATCGTCCTTACCTCTCCTCCTTGTTGTTTGTGTTTGTTACTCTCTTGTAACACCTCTAATCTTCTGCATTTATGTGACCTACTGTGTTGCAAGTGCGATAAAACACCTGCTGAAACTAAACGAATTTGACTATAAATTCCCGGTTGGTATGTCCTTTCCAGAACCCTGCAGACCCCGACTGAGGAGACGTGGAAGGGCGTGACTCAGCTACAGGACTACAAGAACACCTTCCCCAAGTGGACAGATCCCAACCAGCTTGCCAACAGTGTCAAACAGTTGGATGAGGACGGTCTTGAACTGCTTAAGGTGAGTTTATCCTCACTGTGAAACGGTTGGATGACTGTGGTCTTATGCAGTGGAGATTGCTGAGACTGAACTCCGTTAGTTAATTTGAAAATACTGTACGTAGCGATAATCTGAAACAAAACAAATTCCCAGGTTTTTTTGCTTGTTTTTCTTTGTAAAAAAAAAAATTACTGATGAGTCGGAATGCTCTTAGTTCTATTGCAACAGTTCTTTAGAAGTGATTGGTGGAGTCTATGATGTAATGGTAAGGCTGTAGGCTGAAGCATTCAGAAGATGTGAGTTTAATTTCCTTGTGGGTAGATTTCTTTTTATCATGTATCTGTAGGTGGTCAACAAGGCGAAGTTATTTTATTATGTATTTATGTTGGTGAGTGGAAAGTAATTTTCTCGTGTATCTATGTTGAGTTGGAAGTTATTTGGTCATGTATCTATATTGAGTTGGAAGTTATTTTATCGTGTATCTTGTGGAGGGTTATTTTGACATGTATCTATGTTGAGTGGGAAGTTATTTTGCATACCTGCCAACCCTACAGAAAAAATCGGTAGATCACCAACTTTTGGGTCAAACTACCGATCCACCGATTTTGAGATGAAGCCACCGACTTCGGGATTCAGCAGGGTGACTGCCAGGCCCCGGGAATTTGAGAAAGTTATCAAATATTTGAAAACCAAATCCGATAACGCCCGAAAGTTCATTTTTGCCGGTCGCGATTGTGATTCATTCGGCTCCCTCGAGAGTATGTTTCTTCATGCAGACAGGCGGCTATGGTGGCAAGCGGATGTGATACCGACGTTTGATCGGGATAATCAAGACATATACTTTCACTTTCGTTACCACCCAGAAATTTGCTGATAGTAGTTTGATAACGCAACATTAATTGTAACAACATGCAGGCTGTGCATGGCAAACGCTGTGTCGCCTTGAAGATAAATCAATATTTGTCCTGTGCTGTCACTTGTGGAAAAAAAAAAAAGAAAAAAGAAAGTTATAGTTATACAAGCGTCTTGTCGGGTTCGCCATTGTGACCGGTCAATGAACTTGCGCGTTCCATCACATTGTGAGCACCAGCACTTGTAGGGGTCATCAAAGTTCATTCAAAGTCTGACCGCTGCATAGTATAGGACTCTGGAATGGGGGGAGGATTGTTTGTTTTTTTAAAGATACGCTCGGGGGAGGGGGGGGTTGAAGGCAACACCAGGCCAGGGGACAAAAACTGAACTTGGAAGCAAATTTTAGTATTCTAAATTTTTGATAACCTATAGATCTAGAAAACTCTCTGCAAAACGCGTGTTGGTGCAGGCCTTGTGTGGACTCGGGATCCGTCATACTCTTTCCTTGTAAACTCTGCAAAGACAAAAGGCCAAGGCTAGTCCTAAGTCATCCAAGGCCCACCTTTTCTTCATCTTTGCTTCTTTGCTTCTGGTTTTTTGTTGTTGTTGTTTTTTGTGTGGTTTTTTTTGGGGGGGGGTTGTGGTTTTTTGGTTTCATTTGTGTGTGTGTTCGTGCAGGTATGAATAGGACAGGAACTGCACCAACTACTAATAGGGTAAATGCCTCTGGTAGTTTTCATCTTTGTCTTTTTTTTTTCTTTGTCATTTTCTACATTTGTTTGAAGTCGCAAACACAATCATGCATATTTGATGTGGGTCAAAATAAAATATGAATAAGGGTCCCAAATTAAGTATGCGACAAGAGGTAATATAGCCTACTACAGATTTTTTAGGTCATCTACAGATTTTTGGACAAAAATTTGCGTCCAACTACAGATTTTGGCCCAGGCAATGTTGGCAGGTATGATTTTGACATGTATCTATGTCGCCGGGTGGGGATGAAGGAAAGTAATATGCATGGAGCACCGTCATCTTGTAAATGTAAAAGGCTGCGCTTAATAATGAGATCTATATAACTTTTTCCCATTTCTTATATAACACTGGGACACTTAAGTTGCAAAGCTATTACTGAGCTAAATGAGCAGTGGGGCATGTGCCATTGTATATATGCCAGGATTGAGTTTTGTATAATTTTACATGCGGGTGAATTAATCAAACTTTTTTTTTTTTATTTCCCCAGGAAATGCTGATCTATGATCCTGCTGTGAGAATATCAGCCAAGAAAATTCTGAAGCACAAGTACTTCGATGACCTGGACATAAGCAACCTGCCACCGGGAACGGTCCCGAAAGAAATTTTGTGAATAAAGGTGCGGGCCTGGTAAAGGGAGATAAATTGTCTTTTGTATGGAAGTAATGTGTACACGTGATATACGGGTGGATAAGTATTTGTCTTTGAGAGTACACCTGTGCAGGCAAAGAGAGAGAGAAAGCGTGCATTGATGGGTGCTTGACTGGTGCTCTGTTGTTTTGCTCCTTCTTTGCTATCAAACATCTATCGTTCTTATATCTCTCCTCCTTCTTTTCTTTGTATTACTCTCTGGTGGTAACACCTCTAATCTTTGGCACTTGTATGACCTATTTGTGTTGCAAGTGCCGTATGTTTATGAATGACATGAACTTTGTTTTGGTCATGTCTTGAAGTGCTCAAGAAAGTTGTTGTCTTGTTTGCTTTTTTGTTGTTGTTTTGGTTTTGTTTTGTTGTTTTTTTTCACTCCCTCCTCATCCCCCACCCCAGGTTATCAGACTTGACAAGTTCAGTGTGATGCTCATTCATATCTCTTCTCTCTATTTCTTTTCTACCTTTGTCTCCCTTTCGTTGTGTTGTCACCTCGCTGTCCGGACTACGCTGACAAAACTTGGCTGTTGTTGAGCTGGCTGGTTTTCATCTTCGGTTCAACTCAGCCCCTGTCTATTTCCCACTGCCTCTGTGTGCTGTGTTATTTGTTTTTCGTTTGGTTGTGCCCGTAAATGTTCATGCACATCGATTGTTGTGTTCACAACTTCGTTTCTGCCCTCCTGCCTTTGGTTTTTGTGTCATGAGTTGTGATCGTTGACTGTCGTGGGATTTTTGTTTTCCCACGCCTGTAAATTACGTCCGTTTTGTTTAATGTCTTGAAAATCAAAATCTCTTTTCATTTCACGTTTCATTATTTTATTTCATTCTCACGGAATGTTTTGTCAAGACCTTTCCTCTCTATTTTCTCTCAGACTTCTACTTCTGTCTCCTGTTGTCGTCTCGATTATGTGTTTGCTATAAAACAGCTGTGATGATAAGATTATGTGCATACTGTGTAGTGAATCTCTTCCAGTTTTTTGCGCAGGTGTTTGGAGGGAATTCTTTTGTAGATTCTTTCTCCTTTCTTTTCCCCCTCCCTTATGTTTCTATCTTGCTGTTTCTTCACTCTACATGGTTGTTATCGTGCCGTCATGCTTTTGTACCTTCAAATTAACCAGTCCTCGTAGTGCTTTGTTTGGCTGCATTATCATTTGCACTTGCATTTGTGTGTCAAGTTTGTTTTGTCCAGGGGTTACCAAACTTTTTTTTATCCAAGTGGGCCGGATAACTGAGACAATGCTGAGCTCAAGCCGGATACCAGTGGCTATTTGTTAAAATTCAATACACTGTATAAAGAACTAAGACAGCCAACTTATTGAATTATCAATACACAAAAAATGCTAAATGTACAAAGAACTTAAGACAACACACAATGTATTTTGCCAAAAAGCCATCAAATTAAGCAACGGGTCTCTTTTTTTCTGTAGGAAATGTGTGAAGTGAAAAATTATCTCTTTAAAGCTGAGCAAGATCGTGATACCTGAGCTAGAAGTTTATGAAAGTTAAATTTGCACTGCGGAATTCAATGAAATTGTATTATTCTTCTGAAATAGTCCTAGGCACACTACAAACACTTTTTCCTTTCCAAGTTTTATTACGGCATGGTGGTGGACCAGATTAACTGGACCGTGGGTCAGTTTGGTAACCCTTGTTCAAATGATAGCCAAAAGGAGATACGTGTGCTTCTGGTAAGCCTTGGTGTTTTATTGTTTTTGGGAGGGGTGGGGGTGTGTCTTTCCTCTTGGTCATCCTGTCTGTCATCTTGTTTGTATGGTGAAATCACAATACTTACTCATTCTGTACAAGCTCCCCACAAATGCACAAGTTCTGAGAACAATGGTGTATATGTATATATGACAATTATTGCTTGTTGTATTTTGTGTTTCTTGCTTTGTTTTTCTGTCCTTCCCCCCCCCCCCCCCCCCCCCCCCCCTTGTTGTTGTGCCTGTTTCCAGGAAGAAATGAAACGTAAAGGGCTTTGAGTGCAGCGCATGATTCAAATAAGCCTATTTAGACACTGCAACTGTCACACAGACATATTTTACTGTTTGCATTTGCTCGTTATATGACCGTGGTCTGTTGTCTGTTGTGCACATTATGTGCATGTAAATATGATGAATGAAAGTTATTTTTTGCCCTTATGGGCGCATGCCATTTTCTGTTTTTGTTGTTGTTTTTTTTACATTTTTTTTTATTAAACTATGTGATTTTTTAAAAACTCTGTAGTTCAGTCTGTCTGAAAGAGGAAAACTGTCTATATCCATCTCATTGTTGTTTTTGTTTTTGGTTTGTTTTTTTTGTGTCATATTCTTTTGCCAAATCTCATCATTCTGTCCTTGTGGTGCCTTTTATGACTGATGACAAACAGACAAGAATCCTACACAGATCATCTGACGCACTATGAACACACTTGCAAAACATTAAAATGCCTTGAACTTGAAAACATATTATGACTTCATTTGTTTTGTTTTCTGTATTGGAACATTATTATCGTGTTAACAGTTGCGTTCTTTTCTGGTCTATTTTAATCTTGTTTCTTTATAAATACGTTCTTATGGGCGAATGGTTAGAGAGCTCAAATGGAAGATCCTACCTCTTTACTTTAACTTTACCTCTGTTGTTTCTGTCTGTCTGCCTTACTTTTTTTCCAGCACTAAATGACCATTATATTGTGTTGGTGTGCTTTTCTCTTTACTCGAACTCTAACATTTGTGTGTGGGTGGTTGGCGGGTGCTCTGGTGGGGTTTGCTTCTTCTTTCCTATCAAACATCTATCATCCTTATCTCTCCCCTTCTTCTTTTTTATGTTTGTTACTCTCTTGTAACACCTCTTTTCTTCTGGCGCTCATATGACCTTATGCAGTTGCGAGTGCCGTAAAACCTCTATAAAATTTTTAAAAACTAACATTTGTGTAGAGTTTACTTAACCCTAAATCACTTGTCAAGTGTTTGTGGAACTACTGATCGGACACATGACTGAAGATTTGAAGATTGTGGCGTCTGTGGTCTAACTTCTAAGTCTAACGGTCAGGCTGTTCATTGTCGCACAACGGGTTGGGAAATTTGCTATCAAGTCGATTCAAGTAGAATCGAACTTGCCCAAGACGGCCATCCTGTGTGTCGAGGAGAAAAAGGGGTTGCCTTAGGCAGGTGGACATCTGAATCTTACAGTGTCATTATTATAATGTTAAAAAAAAAAAACACTCAATGGGAGAAATTAGAAGTGGCCATTTGTACAGGTGATTGTCTTGTACACAGTACAGGTGGGATTTGGAAATTAGAGCAAGTGGGTGGTTGGCGGGTGCTCTGGTGTGGTTGTTCCTTCTTTCCTATCAAACATCTATCATCCTTATTAAATGTCTCCTCCTTTTTGTGTTTGTTACTCTCTTGTAATACTAATACTTCTAATCTTCGGCACTTATATGAACTTATTGTGTTGCAAGTGCCATAAAACTCTTACTAAAACTAAAGGAAAAGAGCAAGTTCGACCACATTGTCATGTCTGTGCTGAGATGTTGCTTCCCACTCCGCCTGTTTGCCCTGACCTGAACAGGCAGCCTAGTTAGGATGGAGGCAGTTGGCACCCTCACTCAACTCGATGGTCTAGTTTTTAAAACTGACAAAGGGGTGGAAGTCATCTGTACTAAACAACATATTGTATCAAAATATAGACATGGTTTAAGTTGCTAAGAATAAGAATGAAACTGTAAACTGTAAAATTTGTAATGGGTCTGAGGAGAACACAACACACACATGTGGTCCTTCTTCATCCCTGGAATGAAACTGTCTGCTACAGACTTATTTTTCTGAGGACAAAATCTACAATGATTGATGAACGCAAATTAATAGAAGTCTTTATCTAATTTAGATTTTTAAAATTCTTCTTCCTTAGTCTTACCAGAGGCATTTCATTTACAGCTTCAAACTTTTTGACATTGTATTTTTCGCACCTCGTACTGGCTGGAAAAATATTGTTGAGGAAAGGATTCGGTTTTACAAATTACAGCCGAGACTAGAGACAAAGGATGTGTTTTTGCAGCACCCATTTGAAACAGGACTTGTACATTATTAATCAATTACAAAAACTAGCACAATTTTCTTCTCATTCTCATGCTATGGGCAGTAATTTGGATTAAAATTTGTGAGTGGGAATTCCTCAGTGTTGCCGTAGGCCGACTTGCACTTGTCTGTGATGTTCACTGCAAGAATTGCCCACTCTGAAAGTCTCTACTAAGCTGACTAAGCCGCGTGTCTACCACACCGGAAACTGCCCGATTATTTGTTGTCCACGTGTCCACCAAAACGACACAAGTCTTCTAAACAAAATTCTAAAGATGGGTTGGTTGGAATGCGGCATTTTACTACATGTAATTAATTTTCGTCAGGCTGTGTGGTCAGCCAAAGTCAACAAAGACTTAGCCAGTGCTAAAATAAAATTTTGATTTTCAATTCGGAAGAAAACCGAACGTTATTTCAATTTTCAATTCGGAAGAAAATCGAACGTTATGTTCGTAATCAGCGCTCCAAAATTAGCCGTTTGCGCTTAGACCACCTGTTTGTTGTAGGTGTTTGATTGGGGGGGGTAGGCCTAACCGTTTTACGGCGCTCGAAGCCTACTCTCGATTTTGGAACACAAAGGGATCTTGAACTTTAACGTGCGCAACTTACACGCGGGACCTTCGAGATTGATCACCCTTATCCGAGAAGGGTAGGTGTTAGATCTCACCTTTCATAAGATTAAGGGTGTGGCTGAAAGACAACAGTAAGTAAAGAGTCACAGTAGAAAGGCTGCAGTGGGGGAAAGAAGTTGAGTAGGCGAGGGCAGAAAGTGGAGACGAAAGCAGACGACAGAACATTGTTTAGATCAATACAGCAGGAAAGGAAGTGAAAGGAGAAAATTCGAATTCGAACCTAATGAAGTTGAATCGCATTGAATTAGATCTAGATTAAGAAGCGAACACCTTAGCCTTTAGACCACGAGAGTTTTACGCCCCTTTGATTCAAATATTAATAATAATTAATAAACGTATATTTTTTCGAAAAAATACTTCTTCTTTCCTATCAAACATCTATCGTTCTTATCTCTCTCCTTCTTCTTTTCTTTGTATTACTCTCTGGTGGTAACACCT